TCCAGTCTTAATGTTATACTGCATAAATTATTATACGATAATTGCACGCGTCACAGCCCGCAAAATATTAATGAATCTGGACCCAAATATTTTAGGCTACCTAGGATGCCATATGCCTGCCTTTAAAAAGGACTTTCGCGCAACTAGCAATGACAAGATTAGAATTTGGCTACGGTAGCCCCCCTCCCCCGGAAAGGGTGAAATCGTTAGCTAAAGCCAGGTGTTGGCCGTAAAACAGTTAACAGAGAGAAGATTATGCTAGAAATGTTGCGCAAGGCCAAAGCAAATATTTTACAATGTGCATGCTTGAAAATGCCTGTCTCCATTCGTTGTGAAATGTCCTATACGTTGGCTAAACGTTTAAAAGTGCGTCAAAAACGTACATGACTAGATTACGACGGATGCTTACAATTTTGTCGCGGTCTGTCAAGAAATTGCGCCTTCAGAGACTTGTCACCCGTGGTTCGTCCGTCGTCTTTAAACCCTCATTTCTCTCGCCTTGTTCAATCAATACGTCATCACTGAGAACATCGTATTCTCTCTCAGTTGTCTGATCACCGCTGATGTTGACATAATCCTCAGGTTCCTGTAAATTGGGAGGACCTGCCAGTGAATTAGCGCTATTTCTCCCTCGCCAAACCAAGCCGAGAATAAGAAAGATAACTACCAAGAAAATGGACCCTGTTGCCAATCCTATACTGATGGGGACCAAAGAGTTGGCGTGATTACTCGATTTAACATTATCCTTGGCCGTATCTTGTTTCAGTGAGGCAGTTAATGTTGCAGGTCTGCCAAACTCGCTGCAGCCTTCCCTATTGCAAAGGGCCGTTTGCACCACGTAACTCTTATTTCGCTCCAACTTTGGAAGTGTCGTGAATCCTTGACTGATGTTCTGTTCGACAACGCCGTCATTTCCGGAGATATTGTCTGCGCGACGATAACTCATCGCCACGTTCGTCAAAATGCCGTTCCAGGTCTTGCGCGCAGGTAAAGACCACGTGACCGTCACGTTACGGAAACGCCCGTCGTTGCTCGTCGCACAATCGGCATCACAGGTTATCCTCGGTGGCTCGCTCGGTCGTTCCTCGTGCAGTCTCGCTGAACGACAACTTGGTTCCGAGAAAACCTTAGAATCTTTTAAATGGAATTGGATGCAAAAGTGACACATCGCGTACGGTCTGTAAACAGTGAAATCACTACTATGCAAAATTAATTCGCTTTTCTCTTCGACTTCAGTCTCGTTTTTAACCCCTAATTCTGGACAAGTATACTCGAGATGATAACATTTCACAATCTGGGACTTGATGGAAAACGTACGCTTTGAATTTGAATGATTCCACGTCATAGACACCTGTTGCTTAGCAACTTCGATTGCAAACACACTAACCGTAGGAGGGATTAATACAATATAATTCTCATCCAAACCAATATCGTAGCTTGTCAACTTGAATTTTCTTACCGGCCCTTCGGTTTCACATTTTCCTCTTTTCGTAATTATTTTAACCCTGTTTTCTACTAATTCGGAGTGTAGTCTTTTATTAATAGACACCCAGCATATTCGTCCTGTTGTGTTTGGTACTCGGTAAATATTGTGCTTTCGATAAGAACACTCAATTTTATCGTTGCCTATGGTTAGTATTCTATTGCTAATTTCCAAATCTTCGTCATCGACTTCGTATTGAACACTGTATGTATCGTCAAGATTCTCGCTTTGTTTCCAGTAAACCTCGACACTTTTATAAACGCTTTTGTCTATAAAACGGATGCCTTGAACTTGTGTTTGCGAAGGCTTTCTACCGCTTACTGTTAACGAGATATTCAGTTTTGGACGTAGTACATTACCTTCTTTCAAACTTCCAAAACATATGAAGACTTTCTCATTCGGCCAATTCACAGCAACGGTCAAATTGGAGTTCAATTTAATTGACATTGTATTATTTCGAGCGAAGATCGAAGAGTTTAGGTCAACATTTTTTCCTTGGATACGCCAAGTCAAATGCCACGTTCCGGGTATGTGAGTAATGTTTACATTTGTAGATTGTAATGTACAACGAATGGTTATGTCTTTATTGTTTTCAGCGCAAAGAAAACGGTCTCCAACGCTCAGTACAGCTTTTGAATTGTCTGTAGTACTTGCTGCATTTGAAAGCGATGATGACAGACAACAAAACAATGCGATGAAAAGTAAATGAAAACAATGAAACTTCTCTGACACGTTGCGTTTGTTTTCCATCTCATGCATGTCTTTTGAGTGTTTACAAGAACAACTGTATCAAACGATCTCTGAACCAGAATTAAAGACGGCTATTAGTAGTATACATATTTTCTTGAAAGTCGTTATTGAACACTTTCATCGCTTGTTGGTCGCCGCTCAACAGTCGTAAACTAAACTCGAAATTTGAATAAATTAGAATTGTTCTGAAAACGTAATAACGCCAATGCCAATGCCAATGGTAATTGAAATTTTATTTGTTTTAGCATATCATGCATTTGTCTTGGGGGGAATTCTTGCTTTTAACAGATGAGACAAGAACGGGGTTATTATGTGGTAACTGTGTTTGACATTTGTTTTCGCAACAGTATATTACAAAGCATTGTTTAAAATCCCTTTTTGTTGAAAAACTCGATGGAATAAACCAAGTCTAAGGATAATTTCAATGATGCTGATGCATTAATATTGTAATTTGAGATTATGATAATCACATAGTCCCATCGAGGTTTTGTAAAGCATATTTTATTACATCCAAAGAAGTCGGATTCACGATAAACGTTTAGACTTTATTTGTATAGTCTAGAGATTTGTCGACTGTTTATAACAGTGATTAGGAAAATATTGTGGTATATTTGGGCAACTGTCGTTACACATAAAAAGAATCAATGAATCATTATCAAAATACATCAAACTGCACTAATAATGTAATACATACATCTAATTTCGTCATATCGATAATATTAATATTTTACATAAGATTGATCCCGGGTTTAGGAACTTCCTGTTTTTTATTGTATAAGGAACCTCGCGTTGAGCGTGTACTGCTGGGTCGGTTTCCATAACACTAAAAGGTTTTGCATCAAATATTTCTCTGTCAGATAAATGTGTTTGCAGTAGGCATTCTTTGTTCACTTTGCCGATAAATGCCCCCCCCCCATTCCAGCGCCATCACCTGTTCTAACACCTGCTGCAAAGAATCGATAATAAAACTCATTAGAATTTCAAATATTCTACGAAATAGAATTGGTTTAAACCTTATCGTTGAATATCTTGAGGTCCACCGTGTTATTCTTCTTTTTAAGTTTCAATACACAACCATTTGTAAGTCTTCACAACAAATTAATGAAGAATTTGAGAAGAAAAAATGATCTTTTTATTGTATACTGTGGATCCTGTGGATCGGCGAGGGGTAACAACTTTAAACGACGGATGATTATAAAACATTGTTCACACACACACTTTTCTGTTACTGGCATCGAAAAACTCTATGCAATTTAGCGGGAATAACTTCAGGTATTTTTTTATATGCTGTAAAGAAAGACGGCACATTTTATCACGGACGAAAACTAAAGTGTTTTCGACCTGAGGGTCTTCGTTTCGACCTGAGGGCCTTCGTCGGGAGAGTTATATTAGAGACCTTTAGTTTGACGTTTACGGCAAACGCCAAACCGCTAGCAATGTTTGTGTTTTAACTCCACTATCTTTAAGTGTGCGGCAATTTCGCTAAATTACAAACGTTCTGTATAAATCTTATGATGTTCAGCAGTAATGTCAGAAAGCAATAGGCTATTTCTGATGTATTTAGAAAAGCAGCAAATCCAGCTTTGCCTTATGTGTCTCACGTTCGCCGTATAAAATTTAATGCTTGAACGACTGCATACACCCTCAGCCGTAAATTTTATACGGCGAACGTGAAACATATACGGCAAAGCTGAATTTGGTGCTTTTCTAAATACATCAGAAATAGCCTATTGCTTTCTTACATTACTGCTGAACATCACAAGTTTTATGTAGAACGTTTGTAATTTATCGAAATTGCCGCACACTTAAGGAGAGTGAAGTTAAAACACAAACTTTGTTAGCGGTTTGGCGTTTGCCGTAAACGTCAAACTAAAGGTCTCTACTAACGAAGGCCCTCAGGTCGAAACGTCGAGAAGTTTTTTGTCTATTTAGGCAGTTGTTATACCAACATTTGATGCTAATTCTATGTACAATTATATTCACACACGTAGTGCACGTCGATAACACAATACTCTTAAAAAGCAACACGATTAAATAGGACGCACTCGCTCTCACTGTGACAACACACCACACAATACAACTAATAACCAATCAATCCCTAAAGTTTACAATTCTACTGATATTTATACTAAATTCCTTTGCGCAATTTATGCACGTCCCAGGATGTTTTTAACTCTCTAACCGCACTACCCCCATCCTTCCACCTGTTGGCGTTAGCGTGCGGGACTGGCGGTTTCTTTTCTCGTGGTTGAACGTGTGCATGTACTTGCGCGCATTATTTGCCCTGTTTACAAATTTACTATGTTTCCACATAAATGAATATAAATATATGAATATTTATTATCGCTATCGCTCGGTCCGTACTGTCAAGACCTCGGTCTGATATTTTTCTAGTTCGGACCTCAAATTCGGTTAATAAGTGGTATGTATATAATTTCACCAGAACTCTACAGACAAACATGACATTTGACACATGCATTTTCACGATAGTATTGCATAAAAAAGTTTATAGGTATACTGCAGATCTTTCATTGAGTTTTGGCTATTTGGCTATAGCAAGACCAAAGTTCTCTGGTTCTATATCAGTTTAGCACAGTTGAGCATTCTGTAGTCTGTACATAGATAGTGCCAAAATTATTGGTTATTAATAATCATTTATAACATAAAATTGTTGGTTATGAATTCATAAAAATTGTTTGGCTAAAGAAATGAGGTCAAAAATAACACGAATTGCGCCCTAACAGACCTATTGTGACGCCATATAGCCTTTAAGAAAAAAGTATTATTATATAATTGGGCTCAGTGGACTTCATCTTTAACACAAAACCCATTTTATCAATTTCTTTAGACAGTTCTCCTATTAAATGTATTAGGTTTTTACTAATATTCGTCTGGCGAAGTGCTCTATATGTGAACTGGAACGATAACTCGGTCGCCTAATAATCTGATGTAAATATCATTCATTCACATCAGGTTCTTTATCAGTTCCTATCTACAAAAATACCTGCCTATGTACAAAGTCAACACAACTAACAAAATCGGCAATTGCAAGAGCATTTAACTACTTTATGCAAAAGTTAAGATAGTCACTCAGCGTTATATATTACACTTCTTTTTTCGTTTGATTTTTTTATACAAGCACAAACCTTCACAATTTTCTTTGTAATTTAAACCTAGCTAAAGACTACTGCGATAAATAATACCTTATACCTAATAATCTGATGTAATTATCATCATTTACATCAAGTTCTTTATCAGTTCCTACCTATCTACATAAATACCTGCGTTGTACAAAGTCAACAAAACTAACAAAATCGACAAAACTACTTTATACAAAAGTTAAGATCAAGCTGAAAACATATACTTTCTACGGAACTCGTCAAAAAACCTATCCCGTGTCTTACTTCGGAATGTCAGTTACTTGGGAGAAACAGTTTATTGTATACGATGAAACACAACATCTTGCGAGCTCAGGCTAGCCAGCTGATCTGGGCATAAAAATCAACCAATCAGAAGCCAGATCTTCGACAAAACTGAGTTATCATTTCCTTCATTGCAAAGGACTTCGACACTCGAAAATATCAAGTGATTTTATTATATATTTATGTGAAAACACGTTTATTTTTTCCCAACTGCAAATAAGAATTTAAATTCTTCACCCTTTATACTATTAGTTGGAAGAATAAGTACAAATAACACCAGGCACATGATAACTCAGTTTTGTCGAGACGCTTTATGACGTCATGATCTCAGATCAGCTGGAGTTCACAAGGCGCCGGACGAATTAGGGACCGTGCCTGAACGTAGAACGGTGTCAAGAAATTGCGCCTTCAGAAGCTTGTCACCTGTAATTCGTAAGCCTCATTTCTCTCGCCTTGTTCAATCAATACGCCGTCGCTGAGATCATCGTATTCTCTATCGGTTGTCTGATCACCGCTCCCGCTCATGCTGACATATTCCTCGGGTTCCTGTAAATCGGGAGGGCGTGCCAGTGGATTAGCGCTATTTCCCCTTTGCCAAACCAACCCAAGCATACTAAAGATAACTACCAAGAAAACGGACCCTGTGGCCACCAATGCTATTCTAATGGAGACCGAAGAGTTGGCGTGATTACTCGATTTAACACTATCCTTTGCCGTATTTTGTTCCAGTGAGGCAGTTAATGTTGCAGGTCTGCCAAACTCGCTGCAGCCTTCCCTATTACAAAGGGCCGTTTGCACCACGTAACTCTTATTTCGCTCCAACTTTGGAAGTGTCGTGAATCCTTCACTGACGTTCTGTTCGACAACGCCGTCATTTCTGGAGATATTGTCTGCGCGACGATAACTCATCGCCACGTTCGTCAAAATGCCGTTCCAGGTCTTGCGCGCAGGTAGAGACCACGTGACTGTCACGATACGGAAACGCCCGTCGTTGCTCGTCGCACAATCGGCATCACAGGTTATCCTCGGCGGTTCGCTCGGTCGTTCCTCGTGCAGTCTCGCTGAACGACAACTTGGCTCCGAAAAAACCTTAGAATCTTCTAGACGGACTTGGATGCAAAAGTGACAAATCGCGTGCGGTCTGTAAACAGTGAAATCACTACCGTGCATAATTAATTCGTTTTTCTCTTCCACTTCAGTCTCGTTTTTCACCCCTAATTCTGGGCAAGTATACTCGAGATGATAAAATCTTTTGAGAAAAGAAGCACGCTTTGAATTTGAACGATTCCACGTCATGGAAACCTTTTGCTTTGCAACATGGATCTCGAACTCGCTAACCGTAGGGGGTATTAATTCAATATAACTCTCATCCAAACTATTGTCTTGATTATCATAGTAGCTTATCAACATGAATTTTCTCACCGGCCCCTCCGTTTCACATTTTCCTCTTTTCGTAATTATTCTAATCCTGTTTTCTACTGATTCGGGGTGTTGTTTTTTATTAATAGACACCCAGCATATTCGTCCTGTTGTGTTTGGTACTCGGTAAATATTGTGCTTTCGATCAGAACACTCAATTTTATCGTTGCCTATTGTTAGCATTCTATTTCTAATCACCAAATCTTCGTCATCGACTTCATATTGAACACTGTACGTATCGTCAAGATTCTCGCTTTGTTTCCAGTAAACCTCGACACTTTTATAAACGCTTTTGTCTATAAAACGGATGCCTTGAACTTGTGTTTCCGTAGGCTTTCTACCGCTTACTGTTAACGAGATATTCAGTTTTGGACGTAGTATATTTCCTTCTTTGAAACTTCCAAAACATGTGAAGACTTTCTCATTCGGCCAGTTGACAGCAACGGTCAAATTGGAGATTAATTTAATTGACATTGTATTATTTCGAGCGAAGATCGAAGAGTTTAGGTCAACATTTTGCCCTTTGATACACCAAGTCAAATGCCACGTTCGGGGTATATGAGTAATGTTTACATTTGTAGATTGTAATGTACAGCGAACGGTTATGTCTTTATTGTTTTCAGCGCAAAGAAAACGGTCTCCAACGCTCAATACAGCTTTTGAATTGTCTGTAGTACTTGCTGCCTTTGAAAGCGATGATGACAGACAACAAAACGATGCGATGAAAAGTAAATGAAAACAACGAGACTTCTCTGGCACGTTGCGTTTGTTCTCCATCTCAGTTGTTATATCTTTTGAGTGTTGACAAGGACAATTGTATCAGACGATCTCTGAACCAGAATTAAAGACAGCTAATAGTATACATATTTTCCTGAAAATGAAAATCTGAAAAATTTTGAATAAATTAGAATTGTTCTGAAAACACAGTCATAAACCCCCCAATGTTAATTAAAATTTTATTTAGCTAATTATGTATTGTCTTTGGGGGAATTCTTGCGTTCAACAGATTGTGATTATGATAATCTAATCGGGGTTTTTTAAAGCATATTTTATTATATTCAGATATACATTATTATATTATATAAGTCGGATTCACTGTAAACGTTTAGACTTTATTTGTATCGATATTTGACTGTTTCATAACAGTGTGATTGTTTGATAACATGATTAGGAGAACATTGTCTCGTATTTATATTACGCGAATGTAACGCCTACGACGTAACCGTTAATTCGTCTGTTAAGGGCGTCATTTGAACGCACATTAGAAGACGAACAAATCGTCTGGTCAAATAAATCGTGGCATTATCTTATTTTGTTCGTGTGATTTGTTCGTTATGTATGAATCCAAGACGTTTTTCGATGAGTAGTTCGTAAAGACGATCAAATCGTCTTAACAGACGGACAGAGGGTCGATCAAATTTAGACGATTTGTTCGTCTGAGACGACTTATTCAACCAGACGATTTGTTTGTCTTCTAATGTGAAAACGGCAAGGACGTCTAAGCCGTCCTGAATACTGAAATACGGCCAATACCTTATACAGTGTGTCCAAAAAAAGTGACACTATAGGAATTATCTATAAATCTAATTTCGTTATATTGATGATATTTTACATAATAATGATCCGAGTTTTTGAGGAAACTTTGTGTTTTTTTATTGTATAAGGAACCTCACGTTGAGCGTGTAGTACCGGGTCGTTTTCCATAACACAAAAATTTTCAATTCAAATATTTCTCTGTCAGATGAATTTGCTTGCAGATTTATTAACGAATTGCTATGCAATTCTTCAATTGGCGTTCTTTGTTTCCCTTGCTGATGAAAGGCACCCCTCCCCGTTCCGGCGTTTTCACGTGTTTAACACCTGCTCCAAAGAATCTATAATAACAATAATAAATGATGGTAATTGCACTGAGTGGAGTGCAATTTGGTGTGAAATCAAACGCGTGATTACAAAATCACTGACCTGTGATTTGTAATCACAAGTTTGATTTCACACCAAAATTGCACGACACGAAGTGCAATTTCCACTTTATTATATTCATTTTGAAATCATAGAAAAAATTAAACAAATCCAAAACGATTTATTGGCTGAAAGAACCGAAACGGTGTAAAATGTAAGTAATTTTCATCTATTTTCGTCAAGAAATTTTGCGGGGCATTTAAAAAAAAAAAATAAATTTTGTGCCATTTTCCCTTGTAATTTGATTGGATAGTTACACTGAAATACTAAATCTGATTGGTTATTGTGATGCAGAGCTTCAATCTTATTGGCTTATAAATGATGTGATTAATGCTGAAAAATAGTGCGATTTGGGAACTAATCACACTATATCTAACTGATCAGATTGCAAGAAACACCATTGATTTCAAAATAAATATAATAAAATTCATATGATATCGAAATATCACTGAATATCTTGAGGTCAGCCGTGTCATTCTCCTTTTAATTAAGTTTTAATGCACAACTATTTATAAGTCTTCCAAACGAATTTCATAAAACATTGTTCACCGTCACACTTTTTGTTACTGGCATCGAAAAACTCGATGCAATTTGTATAGGTAATGGTTTCGAGTGCAATTTGGAAAAAAACATGCACGAGTTAGTTTTTCAAATAAATTGATCTCATGCAATTTGAAGTCTTTGAAAAACTCACGAGTGCATGTTTTTTTCCAAATTGCACGCGTATCAATGCTATTATCTATTAATAATATACATAAAAAATTAAGCGACACGTGCTACATAATTTTACGATAAATAATTTATTCAATTAACAAAATTCATGCTCAGTCCCATGTTGTTTTCAAATTGTGTCAAAATAGAACTGTTTCAACGTTTCCATAAAATATTTAATTTGGATAGACACAACAATTATATTTCCTAAAAAACGTTGCACTGCTCTAAACCAATCAGAATTGAGAATTTTTTTCTGTATATTATTAAGTGGGAAATAACCACTGGCACTGATAGGAATAACCATTTGAATAAGTAATAACCACTGGGAATAACCCCGCCATGCGGTTCAGCTCTTCAGTTTGGGTTGGGTCGCTGGTTTGGGTCAGCTGTGGCCTTCTGAAAACCGCTGACGCATCAAGGGCTCATTGAGTTCATTCCTTGTAACAATAATAACAACATTCGAAAAAATAAACAAATAAAAATTTTTCGACTTCCGAAGGATTTGTTTGCTCTTTTTCAACATTTTCCCGCGATCTTTTAGAGATTAACGGCAATCATGTTGTAGAACGGTGCAATAGACGTTGTCGTTTTGTTTAGAGATTTTAAACATTCGTGTTTACTTAGCGATATTAAATTTAATACTGTGCTCAGTTACCACGAAATTTCACGGACAATTTGATACAGGAACAATCGAGGTTTTTCTTTGAAGCAATCAATTTGAACAATGTCGAAAGAAAGGACGAATAAAGATAATCGTATCGTTATGAAGTATCCGCAGGTAAAGTCCACATATATATTGAATATTCATTTTATACAAGATAATTTCTGTTCTACCACTGTTCCAAATCCAAACAGTTAATGTACCGGTATTGCCCAAGGTATACTGCAGTTCTGTCAGAACTGTGTTGAGCTTTGGACTACCAAGACCGAGTTCTCTAGTTGTATATTTCAGCACCCGACTTATATTAGTGCCAAAATTGTTGGTTAAGCATTGAAAACAAAATTGTTGGTTATGCATTTATAAAAAATGACAATCTTCAAGGGGTATCAGAACTGAGATATTCAGGCAAAACCTCAGCAGATTCAGGCTCGACACACGAGTTTTTGCCTGTACGCCTATGCTCAATGGTTTGTTTCTGCATTACCTAAAAATGTAACTATCCATTTTCCACATTTGGTTTTACTTACACCTGTGTTTATGCATAGTCTGTGTGAGAATGAGCCCATAGACTAAGGCTCAGTAAGAAACTAATTTGTGTAAAAAACTAATATAGAAATTAAGAAAATATCTATGTAGTCTTTATATGAAGCTACCTTACTAAATTGTCATCCCATGTTGGGCAATCTAAGGGCAAACGTCTTGTTGTAACCTTTGCAATATGTATTATCAGGCTAATTATGTCATTGTAGAGCATTATGCCAAGTAAATAGAATGAGATATATTATATATACACAATCTACATTTAAATTTTTTATTTAAAGATCATGCTGGCAATATTTATCCAGTTGTATTGAGTCTTAAATTTAATGTGCCCTGACGTGCGTGAATTTTGTATGACACTCAGACAGTGGATAATCTTGCATGCTCCTAATCAATCAACATTGAAGAGTTTAGTCCTGCCAGGTGTAAATATTAATATTAGCAAGTCTAAAGGTCAGCAAGCCCATATGCATATAAGTTCATGAAACTCTTATTGCTTGAGGTGCTGAAAAATGTCCATAAACAAAGTTGCACCACTGATATTGCCCATGAACACTTTATATGCAGTGTTAAATGTTTTCCAAACATTTCGATTTGTAAAAGTGAAGTACACCATATAAGGCCAGGTGGCCTAGCTGCTTTATATTATTGACTCAACTCAAGCCCTGCTGTGCCAATTTATTAATATCTATACATTCTTAAATTAAACTGTGCTTGGACTAGCAATTTAAAGGCCCGGTACAGATGGTACAGGCAGAGGCGGATCTAGGGATGTGCAGAAAAATTACACAGCTTATAATCTTAAATTGAAAACACCTTAATAACAACTATATTGGTTACAGATTTGAAAAGAATATTTTTGCATTAAAATCTGCCAATGCAATTCTGATTATAAGCTGTAGTATTTTTTTCTTCACACCCCTAGATCCGCCCCTAGGTACAGGGGCGTAACTTGAACAATAATTGGGAGGGGGGGTGAATATTAATAAATTCTGTTCTGCCCGAATGATTTCTATTGTAAGCTATTGCACTTACAAAAGAACTGAATATATGAATATATTTACCCCCACCCAATTTTTGTTTTAGTTACGCCACTGGGTACGGGTACCCAATTTAGCCATGCTGTGCCAACAAATTGAGTATTAGTGAAGATGGAGGGAGGGGGGCTTAAACGGTACCTGTCTGTCTGCATTTCTAGACTCCAGTCCCAGGATGCCAACATCACTTCGCGTGCATTGATCCAGAAGCCTTATTTACAAACGGTGCAAATTTATGCATATTTTTTTTACTAGCCTTATAATCAGGAGACAGCTGTTAGAAAACAAACAAATTTTAGTTTCAAGACGAGGGAGGCCGCTGAATCTGGAGAATTTGGGGAAGAATTTGGGTAAGGATCTGTGATTCTATAGAGATATTAAGTTTCCAGTCGGGTGTGTCAACAAGCTCGTATCCAGGGTTTTCCCCTTCTGACGTATGAAATATAGTCGTCTATTGGTGACAGTTGATGTAGCCGTAGTGCATTAGCTGAAGTACAAGACAATTAGCTGATATAGTACAAGACAACAGACTATAAAACATCGATCAGAAGTGAATTGGATCCAACAAATTGGATCGTGTGAACAGTTCTATTATAGTTTTTTTATAGACCAGCATTAATATTTAATTTATTTATTTCTCGCAATTCATAGGATGAAGATTTGTAAAACGATAGTAATTGGTGACGTTGCCGTCGGCAAGACGTCCTTGGTTAACAGGTAAACAAAATTATTGGAGAAAATGTCAAAACGCTGTGAAGTTCACTCGAAGCTTGTTGTTTGCCTCGTATCTAACATCCTAACGTCACAGAGCATATGCCCTGTGCTAACGTCCTTTAACTCTCTGTTGTATTGTTATTGACCAATCAAATTTCAACTTTCTCAATGAGCAATTCTTATTGGCTAAGAAAGCGTCGGGAGTTGTCCATTTCATTAATTAATTTTTAAATGAATTAAAATTCATTTCTTGAGCCATTCTGATTAATAGCCAATGAACAGGAAGTTGGAAGTTTTTCAAAGAGTTAAATGGTGTTTTTCAAAGGAGTCGGCGAACGCCGTAAATTCACAGCAATTGAATTACTCATTTGAATTAAGTCCCTTTGTCGGAACTGTAAAGTCTTCCCCGTGCAAGCCTTTTCATTTTATTATGTCATTTTGTGGCCATACAGCATAGGTAGCCCAATGCGCTGCATTACGTACGTCACTCGGGTCACGATTATAGTATATAATAATATTATATTAATTTATGTTATATAATATTATATATGTTATATATGTTAAATAATATTATATTATAATAATATATTATTATATACTATAATCGTGACCCGAGTGACGTACGTAATGCAGCGCATTGGGCTACCTATGCATACAGCGGAATGTATATGTTCGATAAATCGCTGGTCATCGTTGCAAATATCGAGCAAATTATCCCTGTAAACAAACCGTTTGTTTACCTACGGACTTTGCCTCCACTTCAAGATTAGGCCTTTTCTGATTCTTCTGTCTTATTCAAGGTACTGCAAGAATATTTTTGAGACGGACTACAAGGCGACAATCGGGGTGGATTTTCAAATGGAGATTTACAATATGTTAGGATTACCCTTTAGCATGCAAATGTATGTATCATTTTTACAGCAGTGTTACACTGCAGGGTCGCTTGTATCAAGCCCGTTAAGCTTAAACGGTGGATAAGTCAAAATTAAATAACACTCTTACATCTCTCTTGAATGAGTCAACTTGAATATTATGCACTGAATATGTAGTTGTAAACAGTATCTTTGTATTAAGGTTAAAAACATTTAGTTTGCTTCTTGAATAAAACGATAGACTTGCCTTCTATTTTGAACTTATCCAAGCTAAACGGGCTTGTACAACCGGGCCCAGACTTTTAGAGTACTTTCGCTTTCCCTTAAAAAATTTTTGAGGCTCCTTTAAAAGAAGAATGACCATCGTTAAATTTATGAGTGCAGACGGGAAAATCAAATCTGCCTATTTTTCATCTAAAGTCCGCTGGAGAACTGTGCCTGCTGTATTGGAAAATGTGATCTGCGTACACCCTTATATGCAACTAATTTACTTACCCTATAGGTGGGATACAGCTGGTCAAGAAAGATTCAAATGCATTGCATCCGCTTACTATAGAGGAGCCCACGGTAATGTTTCAGTGCTCCAGTTGTACGCCTAGTCAATTTATCTATATAGCTCATCGTAGAGTTTAACCTCACATTATGTACAATTTTCTATAAAATTTAGTTGAACGAATTTTATCCTAAATTTGGAATCGTTCAGACGTTAATAATTGCTGGTTATGAATTCTATTTCGAATTTATAATTGTTTGAATATTCTTCTTTTTTGCTTATTCTTTTAATTTTTTCAAATTCAGTAATCGTTACCGTATTTGATTTGAGCGAAATCAAATCCTTAGAAGGCGCAAGGTATGCAAAAATGTTCACTTTTTCTCATTGATATTGTCACAATTTTGTTGTATAGCGTAGAGAAAAAAACAGTCGCATTATGTGTTGTCAATCTTTCAATACCAGTCCTCTTGTGTAACTTTGGAGTAGCTCATTATATTATCAGTAATTACTTGGTAGAATTTCATGTAATCCCAGTGAGATTTTATACGAGAGTCTTACGACAATATCATTTCAATATGTTCTAAATAAGAAAAGCTCCGAAGCAAAATCACTCGCCTTTCGCGCGCTTTTCTCAACTCTCGCAACATTCCTGCGTGTTTTGATCATACCATCCCAACACGGAAACCATTAAGTAATTTATTCCTATTTATGAAGTAGTTTACTCCTTAACCGAGATAATACACTAGTTCTCTTGGCGAAGGTCCTCAGGTCCAAACGTCGAGAAATTTATTGTATAAGCATTTTAGGCAGTTGTTACACCACATATTAGGTAAATTTTACATTTTGTCACACAGACGTTGGCTAAATGAGGCAATAGCAGAGAATTCAAGTCATTCGCCAGATATTTTTCTTGTTGGATCGAAAAAAGATCTTTTGGTAAGAGAAATATTTGCCTTTATCAGGTTTTTAATTAGTATATAGGTGTCTTTTTGAACAAAATTTTCGCTGTGTTATCAAGCAATATAGTGGCTTCTTGTTGATCGTATGAAAAATTGCTGTCCTAATTTAGAAACCCAGTGATCTGGAGAAAATGGAGGAATACGCCGTAGACTTTGCTAAAGAATTTAACGCGGAATATTGGAGCGTGTCTGCAAAAACAGGTCTTGACTTCTGTGATGTAACTTTAACTATAGACTAGAATAAATAGTTCTATGGAAATTACCTCATGATTAGAAGATAAAGACCTGTGCCCATTTTTCTTATCAAAGTGTTTCTCAGAAATGCAAACTTTATAACGAGTACAAAAATATGGGTATGATCGAAAAATGGTTGGCTATGTTTAGAATTCCTCAATAAATCTAGAACCAACCCCGCCTTCATATATACGGTTAGAATTTAAAAGGTGCCCCTCCCAATTTTTCAATAGTAGGTATAGACTACATGAAGTATATCAAGGGCTCTGACGCTTGCCATCCAACAACGGGGTTTGTAGGGGTTTACGTACTAAACGAGTTCCCTGTATGTAAATTTCAGGAGAGAATGTTGATTTGTTATTCATCCGTACGGCCGCCCTAGCATTTGATCAAGCAGTGTTGAGGGAATGTGAAGATATGCGGAATATTGGCGGAACGCAACAGATAGGAAATGCAGTGATAAGTAAGACCACAACACTGACATTAATATATACACTGGATAAAGCAACTATCGAAACCGAAGCGGGAATTAATGAACCTTCGGATACCCAAATGAAGAGAATCAATACTTCTTGAGTAACTGTGTGTCTTAATGGTTGGGATTTCAGTTTGCATTAGGATGTATTTCCACTTGCAGAGAAAGATATCGCTAGTTAAATATTTGCATATTTTCTTTTGATTTTGGCGGGATGGTTCAGCTTGACTGTTCTCATTTCAAAAGAAAATATGCGAATATTTCGCTAGCGAACGATTTCTCTGTAAGTGGAAATCGAGCCTTATAGCACAGAATACCTTCAATCAATCAATCAATCAATCAATCAATCAAAACTTTATTTAAGCACGGTAAAATCTACAGTATAAAAAGTGGGCTATAATTATATACATTCATTAGATATTTAGGGACAAAATTACTAAATACAACACAATACAATACAATTTAAAATACAGATATATAAACTGATTTACAAGATTGCCGTGCGAGAGTCTGTTTTATAGGGAAAAAATGTTGTCAATCTCCCTTTTAAATTGGTTAAGAGAGCATAATGCTCGTACATTTTGAGGTAACTCATTCCACAACACCGCGCCACTATAACTAAAACTTCGTTTAGCATAATTTGTTCGCGGTTTTGGTACAAATAAAGCATTTTCAGAGTTTCTCAAATTGTATCCTGTGTTGTGGAATTCAAATAAATTACGGAGATAATTCGGTGTTAAATCGTTAAGAATTTTGAACATTATTACAGCCTTGTGTTTTTTCCGGCGTGTTGAAAGATTGTCCCAACCTAGTTTAGTGAAAAGGTCGCTGGAACTTGCATCGTATCCAGATTTGGTAATTACCCTCGCTGCTCTATTTTGCAGTTTTTGCAATTTGACGAGATCCAATTATCATAAATTCCGTTTTAGCGACATTTAGACTCAGTTTGTTAGCTATGAGCCATTGATTAAGATTTTTCAATTCAGAGTTAATTATTGATTCAAGCTCTGTTACAGATTTTGCCGCAATACTTATATTGGTATCATCAGCAAACATTCTCGGAGAGGCTCTTCCCAATTTAGGCAAATCGTTAATGTAAATTAAAAACAATAGTGGCCCCAAGTTGCTACCTTGAGGCACACCACAACTTATTTTAACAGCCTCAGATAATTCACCATTTTAACAGCCTCAGATAATTCACCACTATCAGAAGAATAACTCTATACTATTTTTTCAATATGGCGCGCGCGCGATATTGCTAAATTTTGGCAGGGGGGTGACTACCTCAAAAAAATGCACTTGCTAAGTGACGAATCATGACGAATCGCACTTACGAAAAAAGTACAGTTCTACTTCTGATAGGTATTCTGTGCTTATAGGTTCTGAAAACAAGGAGGAGAATTTTGTTTTAAACTTATTGGCAAATTTATCGTAAAATTTCAGGCTAAGGCAGTCTGAATGGCTAAATTGTTAATAATTTACGTAAAACTCCCAATTCTGAATCAATCTTTGGTGTGAAATTCGATAGATGGAGTGCTAAGCAATGGTTGAAAAAGCGAGCCTCCCATTGTCATGCGCAGAATGGATGCGAAGAAACTGTTTCACCTCTTCTCGCCATCTATTTTTTGGAAAACATTTGTCTTTTCAACATTTCAGAACTAAATAACGCCCCAGCGAGCAAAGAAGCATCGAAAAAGAAGGGATGCTGTTGAGCGAAATCACTGGGATAAATTACATCTTGCGCGACAGAAAGAGTTGGATGAAAAATGGAGTTCTACAAAAGTAAAAGTATTTTATTTTTCTAAAGCAGAATAGTGTAGTACAAAACAATACAATCATTTCATGCATATATTATGTAATGGTTTAGGGACAGAATTAAGTTAATAGGTATGTGTTAAATATTAAATTCAATTGAACTAAGTATTTATGTAACATGCACATAATTCACTTATATATTATAATTTCGTTCTTATACTTAAGATATTAATTAGCACAAATTATGAATGGAATTATAATTAAATTATGTTTTTAGAAACTATTGTGTTTTGTAGAGATCACTCGCTCCCAAACTGTGTCTAAAAAGTCAATGCAAGGGTTCGAATTCTAACATTAAGTTCGACTTGCTCATTAAATGGTAGCTATATGGGCATTGCAAATAAATTTATCAAGTGTATTTAATTTGTTTATGAATTTTTTTTTTCCAACTGATCCAACATTGTCACAGACGATAGACTGATGAGTATTCTTTAAACTTTTTTTTCCTGCGACCTGCGATAATCCGTGATTTGTAGGAAATATGTGGTAAAAGGTGTCATCGTAAACTGTCTGACTCTGAAATTTCTTAGAAATCCTTCATGCAGAACATGTAGCTAAAATTTACTGCTAAGAATACGAAAATTACCGACCGCCTACATACAATGTATATGCGTTTGCATGTGAAAGAAAAGGAATGTAAAAAATGAAACCGTTTGTTTAATCTCGTTGTAAAAACTAGGTTGTGTTAATGATCACGTCGCCATTATTTCCACTGCAATTTCATGGTTTTATAAATTCAAAATCTATTTTACAAGCTCGGTACACAAGAACGTCAGCGTTATAGCGATTTGATATTTCTTCGTACGACTAAATTCAGTTCAGTGCAATCAAAAGTGAAATTGCTCCGTACGTTAATTAGCTAGATTTTGCAACCCCGTTGTTCAAATTTTTCTTCGCCCGCCGTTCACCGCATGTTATTTCATAAGACTTGAGATTTCGTTATAGCGTGTAAAGAGAAACCTTTTAAGATGTTAAGAAGACAGATTTTAGCGTTTAGTCACGTTAATTGGCAAACAAGGTACGAGTGTCTATTTTTATACCTATACAGTAATACAGCCGAGAAAAACGAGCAGAAAATAGGGAAAGTTTGCTTATTTTCGTCGTAAACATTGTCATTGATTATTGTTCTATTATTAGGTTAAACCAAATCTAATGACTGACTTCGTTCTGCAACAGAATCCAGTCCCAGTTTTGAGTATTTGAACGTGTCCTGTTCGGTAATGATTTGAGAAAGAAAGGGAAACTATATACAAGGTTTGTTGATGAAGTTTATGCTTGAAGTTTAAAAACCTCAGCGGGAAAATACCAAATATTCCTCACTTGCTCAGTATTACATATAACAGTCACTTCGTTTGCTATAATAACCTTTATTATATACACAAGCGCCAGATATGAGGTATGCTGCAATTTCATTGGTTGGCTACTAGACAGATGTTAGCTCATATCTGTCTAGTAGAGAAAGTAAACAAAATGGCTGAAAGATTTGGGAGTTGAGTGAAATAGAAATCCAAGCTTTAGTTGATAATAGCACACCAAAATGCACCGAAAGGGCATCGAAAGTTTGTGTATATAATAAAACAGTTATTCTGCTCACTCTCGTCGTATATGGCCGATAGCCAACTCGGCGCTATACGCGCCTCGTCGGCTATCAGTTCATATATGACTCGAGTTCGCTGAATAACTGTTAATTATTTTGCTTATATATACATTATAAGTCAACAGGCTATAAAACATGCATCAGGACGTCAATCGTATCTGAGAATTGGATCTCGAATTGGATCTGATCATGTGAACATACCAATTAGGATAGGGGGGGGGGGCTTTGCCATACTTTTAAAAAGGGGGATGTCTAATACTACCGACCGCGAGCAATAAGTTAAAATGAAATGAAAAACGAATTCTCTGACACAAAAACGTCTTAGGCTTAGCAGTTTTTGGATTGTTTAGATTAAAACGAAAGGAAAATTCATTCTATATATTATCTATTTTCGTATAGTGTATTTTCAATATTGTCTATTCTTTTCTGTTTTCTCATTGCTATAATTAACAAATAGATTACAATGAACCGTTGTCTGTTCAGTTATAGATACACGGTATGACGTCATATGTGATAAGAACAAAAAAAGTGGCCACGAGCCGCCGGGGCGAGTGGTCACTCTTTTGTTCTTATCACATATGGCGTCATACCGTGTATCTATAACTGAACAGACAACGGTTCATTGTAATCTATTTGTTTTATATAATAAAACTGAAAAAAATCCAAAATTAATTGAATTATGTGTTTGCAATTTAAAAACAAGAAAATTGCTGTGACGTCATTCCGTATATAATGAAACCATATCTCATATAAAGAAGAAATGCAGTATTTACTTACGTTTTCACTATTCCATAGACTTTTTTTCTGTCAACGATACTGGGCATGTTCATAGGGAATTGCAAACTAGCCTTCATCTTGTTTTTTGTCTCGCTGTTATTAATCACATTCAGTTTCCTCAAAACGGACTTTACCCTTTAGAAAAATGGACCTGAATAAAAGTGAAGAAGAAGTTGTTAACTTTTTTAAAGAGGCTGTTAACAAGAAGGACCTAGCTGTTCAGAGTGATCTGCTAAAGAAGTTAGCTCAGATTTATGTTATGAAGTTTGATGCAGACAAGGATGTAACTAACTTGAAGAATTCCGCGGCACTTTGTCAGGCGTCGATAGTCCGGGATAAAAGTGGAAACCACCACAAAGAACTAAAAGCCATTGTTGAAAATGTTGAAGAGAAGATGCTGATGCACATGTTGCAAGGAAATGATCCGAAATGTGATGAAAATCGAGATGATTCCCTTTCCTCGTCCTTGGCCTCCAGACTGGAGATAACAAAAGGATCCCACATACAGGAACAGAATAGCACGAACAAACGAAAACTTCAGGCGATTAGAGAATGGGCCAGTAGTCAATGTAAGAACATCATGGAGACTTCGTGGAAAATACCTGAAGAAGAAGATGTGTTTCAGAAGCTGGATCGAGAAGTTTTATTCATCCAACAAACCAAGGCATTATATGTTGAAATTGAAGTAAAGATGCGTTCCTTTATCAGTCATCTCATTCGTCAGTGTCAAGACGTACTTGGCAAACCAAGTGGTGAATATGCTTTCCTTGGACTGGGCTCGTTTGCTAGAGCTGAGATCACACCTTGGTCCGATCTGGAGTTTGTTATCCTGATAAGGAATGATGACGACGGTACAAAAAGGTATTTTAGAAACCTGACCCACCTGCTTCACCTGAAAGTAATCAATTTTGGCGAAACGCTTCTACCAGCGATGGGCATAAAGTCTCTGAACGATTTCAGTGAAGGTGGAGATGACTGGTTCTTTGATGACATCACTCCGAGTGGTTTGAAATTTGACGGAGCTATGCCTTGGGCCAGCAAGCTTCCCACAGGTCGAGGGGCAACCAGCACCAAACCGGCTGTTGAGCTTATCTGCACTCCCAAACAAATGGCCAGTTTCCAAGAACCAGCAGAAGCTAAAACTCATGGTTATCATTTGGCAGACATGCTTGTTACACCGTCTTTGCTATATGGAAGCCCAACCTTGATGCAAGAATATTTCAAAGAAGTAAAAGAAATCTTGCAAAGGAGAGCACATGAAGCGAGCGATTTGATCCATATGATTTCCGAAGTATATAAATCACATTTGTTTGAAAGGTGTCCTGACACAGTCACAGAAGCCCATGTACGGTTCATAGATGCCCTGAAGTATGACAACGGTAGGTATCTGACATTCCCTATGTCAAGATACAAAACGAAGTTTAGTTCCAAGAAGGATGTCTACAGATTTCCAAGTGCCACTATTGATAATTTCAGGTTACTTGGGGAAATCAAAAGTCAGAATTCCTGGGAGTTTATTGAAGCGAATTTCAATCAATTCGTTATAATTGAAGCAGCTTTGCTCCTAAGTATATCTGTGATGCTTCGTCTCACCGTGTACTCCATACAAGGCTGCCAAGTTGAAGACACGACCACCTTGGGTCTGTTGAGCGACGATGCATGGCTGTCACAACAGAGGAGAATTGTTGTTTTCAACCCTATCGCAGTGGACAGGTTCTATGAATTGCTGAGTAATTTCATGAGCAAGAACACTGGGATCCTCCTGGGTTCTTCCAAGAGTCTGTCCGCGTACAAACCCACCGAGAAGGAACCACTTGGTAGGGTCCAAAAGTTACTCGATTGCAATAAAACCGAAGAAGGTCTACAGCTGGCAAGGGAGATAATGGATACACACGGATGGAGTTACGTACCGGATTCAGCTCATGCCGACCGCTATGATGATATTGTCAAGGCATTCCTCCATAACAAGGAATATGATCGTGTACAGACTATGTGCTCCTGTTTGCTGAGTTTTGATGAACTGCCAAATCTGTACAGGGTTGTTTTCATGGTATATCTCGCGCAGTCGTACATGTCTCTGGGAAACATAGACATTGCCGTGACCGTTGCCAAGCAGGCATTGGAGGTTGCAACTGAAAAAGGGCCGCAGCGCAGTTTTGAAAGAGTTTTGTGCTTGGATGTTCTTGGTGGTATGTATTTTCTCCAGAGGAAACCAGAGGATGCTGTGAGAACTTTACAGTCAGGTTTGGAAATGATTGATTACATGGAAAAGCACATCGTTGAAATTAATCATGAGGTCAGAGCAGCAGGAGTGCAGTGGACTGGGCATTGGGAAGAACACGAGCTGTATGATGAAAATTTTGATCAGCGGTTTGCCTATAAAGATAGAGATGCAATTGCCGGATTGGATATGGAAATGAGTAATGTTTTGTCAACCGTATTCCTGCAGATGGAAAGGTTCGACGAGGCTCTCACCTACGCAGAAGCAGCATTAAAGAGGTTCGAGAAGACCTTTGGCAACTTGGCACATCCAAGGAAATCGAATTGCCTTATCAATTTGAGTCAAATATCAATGAGACAAGGAAATCTGGTCATGGCAAAGAAATATATCGATGATGCCAAGGAGAATCTAGATAGCATGATGCCCACGTCTGCAACAATGCAACAGTTATTGATGACCGAAGGATTGCGAGCTACAATATACAGAATGCTTGGCCTATCACCACAGTAATTTTTAGGACAAGAAACTTGAACAACACCGGACAAATTTTGTAGAACATAAATAGTTTTCTTAAAACATTGCACGAACTTCCTGCACATGCATGCCCTTAGAACTATGGTTTTAGTACGAAGTATAATCATTCGCACATAACTGATACGAAATGCCAACTTTCAAGGAAAGCCACCGGTGAATTTGAAACTACCGAATCTGAAACGAAATCAGCACTGTAACATGGTCCTGATTCTGTCAAAGTAAAGCTGTGGCCATCTTGATTGGTAACTCGATGCTGACTGACACTGCTTTAATCCAAACAGTTATGTTGTAAAGGCAATAGGATTGTAGTTGATAGAAACAAGGGGGAATTTTGTTTTAAACGAATCAGCAAGTTTGTTTACATTTTTAGTAACACAAACAAAATGCATAAGTTTTGATAAAAAGTACAATATATAGCATTTTACATGAAGTATTAAAAATATAGGCATTCTGATTGGCTTTGCCTGAAGAATGTAAACAATAGAAGTTAATAGACGGATGCCAGGATGTTAATTAGTAAAGAGTGTTCGAAATGTTAGGAAAACGTTAGAAGATCGTAGAAAATGTTCGTATTTGTTAACTTTAGATGCCTCAGGAGTAGAGTTGCATTGCAAGTTGCAAGGAATGTTGCATAGGGTAACACCGCATTTACGTTCCCGGGCTACAAAAATTGGCTTTTCTCATCTCACGATGACGAATGTGCGCCATTTTTGGGGTACTTTTTTTAATTGTGATCGCGAGACCTTGTCAGGCAGTCAGGGCGGCTGTCTTTAATTTTAGGCTGAATTTATTGTTCAAATGGTCTATGGACGTACTCTTAAAAAATGCTTCTTACATTGCTATTATTGTTTAAAAGCATTTAGGAAAATTGAAAGTACCCCAAAAATGGCGGATATTCCGTATTCGTCATCGTGAGAAAGGCTAATTGCCCAAAGGCGCGAAAAAGGTCTTCAACATTCAGTTCACGAATGACGTCATCCGCGAATTTCCGCTGGACCGATGATACGCGGGCTCCTTCGAAGCAAACATGGTACTTCGAGAAATTGGAACGTTTTAAAATTGGAAGCAAAATATCGAAATTTTCGTCGTTTTTCTCACTCTGAAACCAAATCAAGATATTTATCGAAAAGATGGCCAAGCTTGTGAGGGTCTGTCGCAACAACGAGGAGGAAAGCGACTTGGAAAACTACCAAATTCCCCTTGTTATCGACGAGGATTTGAAAGTACGTTATTGACCATAGTATTTTATATATTTGCTTAATTTTATTTATCGCTTTCACCCGCTTTATTTTTCATGCGTGACAAGACAGGAATGTTTTCGGCGAAGCACACGCTCTCTTCGATAAATTACACTATTTCGATCATTTTTTCACCTAATCTGAGCCTGTTATTTCAGTAATCGTCGGATTTGTTACTGCGCCGTGTTAATAAGTTAATAGACATTTATTAGATATTTAAAAATACAGTTTCACCGGATAATGACATCCTGTTACAAGTCATTAATCTCAAAGTTTTCAAATTTTATTTCTTTGAAATGTAAATATGTACGAAGCTACTGTTATATTGCTGTTTATGTCATCAGAAATATGTGTCAAAACATTAAAATCAAGTGGTTTGCATGCTTCAAAACTTCAGTCTATTAGATTTTCATTGTTTGTCAAAAGTCAAAATACTTTAATTCTACTCCTCCTATCAAATCTGCCCCACCTATGATGCTAGGCCCTTAATATTAGATACTTTGCAAGTGCAATGTTTTTATATTGAAGTACACTGTGTTTAAATATGGAAATTCCAAGAGGGTAAAATTGAACAGTTTTGTGCAGTTAGGAAAGACAAAAATTTAAAAAAAACACTCACAATATATTGTAAAGTGAGGGGCAAAGCTGGGTTCAGAAATTAAAGTCAGGCAACTGAATGTTGGCAAAGGGCATTCTCCTGGTCAGAAAATCAGACATTTTATAAAGTAGGTAGTTTTGAAATAATATCTTCCATGACAGCACAAACTCTTTTGCACTGGTCATTTTGACAGGCTAGGCCAGTTCCCAATAATTATATTCAGGCCTGGCTATATAAATAATAAACAGTTCTACTAAAAATTAACAGGGTTAATTTAGGTTGAAACGTTTAAAAACATAAGGTTTCAAAGAGCAACAATAAACATGACTTCAATGGTTAAAATGTTTGGTGTTTCTTTCTCCTGTCAGTCAATTTCATGTGTGAACTTTGGCCTGATAATATGCTTCAATGAAAGATTTAAACATGGTGTTGTAATTCCCCGATGTCACGCTGAATCAAAGTGATTTTTAAGTGTGTTTAAGAGAGTGTATGTTTAAGTGAAAAAATACATATTTCATTTGTATTCTCTGCCATAAATTGTGCATTTTCCATTACTTTCAGATGATCATGGAAATTCCTCCTAAGGAAATGCTCTCGATGGATGAACTTTGGGATTTTGGAAGTTTTGATGATTTTATGAGGGTAAGTATGTATTTTAATAATGTTAGACAATTTTACTTAAATCAGCCAAAAAGTCCCCATCTTCTTAATCCTATTTAAAGAAATCTGCATGATAAAATAAGTAGTTAAAGCAATATAACCTACATTTTTTTCTCATTTATCTTACCTGTTACAATAACTAGTTAAAATATTGTCAATTAGAATAAATCAGTTGAAAGGTGTGGTATGTGCTATAAACATATAGTTCTCTAGAGGTTTTAGCCAAGTTGTAAAGAATATTTATATTAGTTATAAGCACTAATCCTTTATATATATTGAGTACCATTTATTCATTATTAATTTATAGAATAGTGAATATAGAATAATAAAGAATAGAATTTGGGGTTCATTGAGATTAATATGCTCTGAAATGAACATATATATGGAAAATAAATGTTAAAGAGTTATGTGAGCATAAAATTTTAATACAAATTACAATAGGCAGGATGTTCAAGATGCTGCTATGTACGTTAAATCAGTAAACCAAACCCTTGTGTCTGTTAATTTTTTATGAACATTTTGTGAACATTTAATAGCGTTATAAAAAGATGAATGTTGATGAACTGGCTGTATCATTTATGGTGACTCATAATGAAGTCTTATCATTTCTTTCTCAAACTGTTCCATGTGTCGGTTGTCGGCAAAGGTTGGTGGGAGTTAAGCACAATGATGGATTTTTACGTATGCAAGGGGATAGCGAAACTAACAGCAAAGCTTATGTTCCTTGTAGTGTTGAAAAGTTGTACAATCACATCATGAAGACGAGCCAACCTGCTCTGGAACCACTTCATATAATGCAGTCTGGAGGTAACGTATGAATCATCTAAAGACGTATCTTAATAAATCAGTTTAGTGATAGGAAAAGATTAGGTAAAAAACAATGATTTAAGGATTGAATAAGCTTTGGATGTTTCAAGTATAGACAACTAAAATGTTGTAATTCTGACAGTAAATATTATATATATTTAAGAAAAAAAATGTTGTTTAATTAAACCCCTTTAATGTTTTGTGTAGTACTTACAATAGATCCATCAATATTGAAAAATCCATTGTTGCTCCATACTTTTCTTTATTGTCGTGGGTATGTATTATTTAAGACAGATCTTATTGTTATTGATAATGCATATGACTAAGGTGTATGAATTAATATTGTGATGGTGGTACTCTGAGTATTTCTGAATGCTACTCCAGCATTAGATCTTATTGCTTTTGGTTTTACCTTTCACTGCCATTTTCTCTTGCTAACTGTTAATAACTTGATCTTACAATGGTTTTCTTAATCTTATACAGTTCAAAACTAAACGAAATCCTTGAAAGTATTCCCAAGTGCAGGAGAAACAGGTTACAACATGTTTTATTGAAACACTGCATTTAAATTGCACAGAATATTAGAAATATTTCCCTTTTTTCTTTGTTTTGTTATTTATATCAAATTCCATATTTTTAGGCGATGCCTTCTTCACTCACTGGAAACTCATAAATCTAGAACACCAATTGGGTAAGCTTTTTGTAGGAAAAAATTGTTTACAATTTGTTCAAAGTTCTTCAGATAATTCTAGCCCTCATGAAAAATGTCCCTTCTCTCTAAAAACATCACTATGGTACCTGCAATTAACTTCTAATTACTGTACCTCTGACTAGTATTTCTCTCTCTCTCTCTCTCTCTCTCTCTCTCTCTCTCTCTCTCTCTAATGACCCCTTTTTCTAAGAACCCAATGTTCGTATATCCCTGGATTTTTATCATCAAGCAATTTTGCAGAGATACAATTAATTTTTTCTTGCTTTTCATCATAACATTTTGACTTAATCATCATGAATAAATCACTTAATGCGCATCTATATGTCATTAAAACTGCTTATTATATTTGTCATGTAATCTCATTTTTCTGACCTTCCAGTTTCATGAACAGTACATTTGAAGACAGACTCATGCATTTGTTTCGACAGGCCACTATAATACCCTGTCTAAATTTTTATTCCATTTTCTGAAAGTTCTCTCTATATTTAATTCCCCCCCCTCACCTTAGTTTGCTCTGCCTCCCCCCCTACCTCATTATTTTTTGGTTTTTCCACGCAATAGAAAGGAAAAACTGTTCTTACAGACACAGTAACAACAGCTATTTTTTCTCGGCTTTCTTTAGATGTTGGGTTGATGTGTGGGAAGCTTTATCTCAGAAATGTCAAGACGAGGTATAGTTGACATTGAGCGTTGACTGGTAGTCTCAGAAATGATTCGAAGATTAATAATTATATTGGACTCTTGTTCTAGGTATTGACCATCAACTCTAATACACTTTTGGATGCGTTAGAGAATCACCTCAGGAAAAACAGGTACAAATAAGTAGTTTGAATAAATTTATAACTTGTAATTAAAAGATAGAAGACTCAAGCCAAAACAAATTTGAATTGATTGTACAAGGTGTCTCAACAGAAAAGCCAATCAAACTAATGCCATTTGCACGAATCTAACGGCCGTTCGTATAGAACTTTTCCCGTGCAACTTTCTTTTCTCGTGCATACAAAGACTTGATTTCATTAACATGTAGTTTCGGCAAAATTTTGCAGGTCTGAAACGGACCTAACCATTCCAATTGTGTAACTTTTAGACGGCGAGAAAGAGACGATATTTAGCTAACTAACAGTACATTGAAATGGCCAAATAACTGTGTGTAGCGTGTGTTACTATGTCTATAAACTGCGTGGAGAAAACGACATTCTGTCACCATTGGGAATTGAGAGGACATTCTTATTGGCGCGCGCACACATCAAGCTCATTAAAATTTGCCTCGTCTCGCATTTAATTGTTAAAGTTTATTTTAGATCACTATTTTTTATTTCAGTAATTTTCGGTAATTTCTCGCTGTTATAAAATAAAAAAGGTATCAATGGAAAGCTCTTTTATAGCTACAAAAGGATCTAAACTTGAACTAAATGCATCCTGAATAAATGTCCGTTAATTTTCGGGTTTTTTCGAGACACGCTGTACTTTAATTACGTAAAGCATTGATTAGTTCTACTAGTTTAAGATATTAGTTTTAAATGCAAGGCTTTCGGTCCCGTTCCCGGCCCTTCGTCAATGCAATAAGGAAATAATCGATTTGTAGAAAACTAATACACGTTGTGTTTTACAAAAATTGATGATTCAATTATCATGTTATCATGCAAAATTTCAAGAATATTATTATCCTGGGGCCGGTTGTATCAAGCCCGTTTAGCTTAATCGGTGGATAAGTCAAAATTAAATAACACTCTTACATCTCTCTTGAATGAATCAACTTGAATATTATGCACTGAATATGTAGTTGTAAACCGTATTTTTGTATTAAGGTTAAAAAGATTTAGTTTGCTTGTTGAATAAAACGATAGACTTGCTTCCTATTTTGAACTTAACCACCGTTTAAGCTAAACGGGCTTGGTACAACCGGCGCCAGGGGCCGGTTGTTCGAAAGGCGTTTAGCTTAAACGGTGGATAAGCCAAAGTTTCAAATTACTCTCATACATCTTGTGAATGACTAAATCTGCATCGTATGCATCAAATATGTACTTTCATTGACAATTAAGCTATTTACATCAAAATATTTCAGCTCAGTTGTTCAATAAATATATAGTTTTGTTTTCCATTTTGAACTTATCCACCGTTTAAGCTAAACGCCTTTCGAACAACTGGCCCCAGTACTTTATGTTAAACAAACAACTGATTGAAGCTGTTCTGTAACTTTTCAGGTTTTGTACAGAGTGCAAGCGTAAGGTGTTGAAGGCTTTTGGCATTTTGACGGGAGACATAGAGGCCGAAAAAGTAAAAGGGTTAGTTGATGTCCACTTTCACTGACACTGTGTTGAAAATTTGATCTTCGTGTGACATTGATACGGATATTTTAATATTTTTTCAACAGCTATTGTCCAAGTTTATACGAAGGATTAAAGCCATGTCCGCTTCATAAGCACGTTCATGTTCCTTGCGATGTTGAATTTTTGACGGTTCTTTTAGAAAAAGCAGAACACGAGTTGTCAGGGATGTAAGTAAATAAACGTATTTGTTTTATAGGTGCTGTGTATTTTAATTGTGATTGGTTCATTCGTAGTCACATGACTTTATTTAAATGCGATGTTTCCCGCCAGGGAAACAAGTGAAATATTGTTGCCCGCATACATATATTGTCATAACAAAGCAAAGTGTTTTTTTAATCAAATTGTTGTGTAACATGTATGTTTTTGTGCCTATATAACAAAGCACTTAATGTACACTACCTCGGGAAATAGTGAGTTTTGTTTTCCCTCGAGTCTCAATGTTTTCAACATTGAGACTTTTTGGAAAACAAAATTCACTATTTCCCTCGGGAGCATACATTAAGTGTATAATAATTTGCTACTACTACCAAAGATGGCCGTCGCCAGACCTTTACTTTTTGTGGGTTCACTAGGTTGTGATCTGAGTTTCTTTGAGCAAAAATTCCGAACGGCGCAAATGAGAAATGCCATTTCTATAGTTAGCATCGAAACTGGGCGTCTCATTGAAACGACTGGTTGGCTAAAGTTCCATTTTAAGTAAGCCTTCTTCTTTCAGGAGGCGAGAAAGACACGCAAAATCTATGGACACCGCCCAAGAAGAGGTATTAGGAGATAAAAATACATATAATAGCTTAAATTAAAATAGATTAAATATTTTTTGTTAGTTGGGTACTTTTATCGTTCAAATAAAAAACTATCGCGTTTATTTTGAACTGAGATACACAATACTGTATATTTCGCAACTTATATAGTTTTTAGCGGAAAGAAGATTTGTATACACTTGCCAATTAATCGTTTTCCCTGTTCTTCCAACTGCAAAGTGTTAGAAAAACGTGTGTGTTTTGAGAAGTGAAGAAGCAGTGAATTCATAAACTTGTGATGTTTAGGTGCTGACTTGCCTTGCTGTTTTTATGTGGGAGAGACTCCATCATTTGTGGCAGAAATTACGTACCGAGGAGCAAAGTTGGCAAATGTTGTATTATCTTGGAATAAACACTCTCAGAAGGAGCTTTGAGGTTTGTTTGCCGGTTCTTTGCGTTAAATTGATAGCTGATGCCATTATTTAAGTGAATAAATGTGTTCTTATACCCAGAAGGGTTAATTTAAAGCCGATTTAGACCAGTGTAAGTCCATTTCTAATGTTTGTTTACACAATAAGAAAAAACGATAGGAGACTGGTGTATAAGTCTCTGAATTAGCTTCAAAGATGGCGGCCATATAACCCTCAGTTGTCGTTCAATCTTCAAAAATGCAAACAGTGTGATTATTTCATTTCATTAAAAATTGAGCATCTATTTCATATAATGTAATCTTGTTCAAAAAATCGCCACAAAACACAGGCACATCTTTATTTTGTGGAACGTACCAGTTGCGTTCACCCAGCGAAGACTGCCATTAGTGAGCTTAAGCAAGCGATGTTGTTGACAACCCAAACGGCACGAATAACGTGAAACGACTGGGTCAAGGATTGTGATTGGTGAAAAACAAAGCTTTAATTCTGGTCAACGTACATGTTGTCAAAAACGTCACTTGCTTAAACTCACTATTGTTAATGAATTTACCAGAAATTTTCGGCGGCCATGTTGAAAAAAAGTCGAACCATACGGTTCCAGATTTAAACGCACTTTTTTGCAGCCAATAGCAGCAGCTTTTCCAGCGTAGGTGTGAGGAAATATTGTGTATGATATTTCTTCATCGTGGTCACTTTAATCGAAATGAAATCGCCCCGATGCAGGTTTCCGTGGAAGAAAAACAAGGCATGTCAAGATTTGAGCAGGTCGTTGAAGAAATTTTTGAAGAAGAAAAGGAAAAAGAGGTGAAACGCGTCCAGAAGCGTCAAAAGAAACGAGCTCGACGAAAAGAGAAATGCAAATTTGGCCATCTTGCTTCGAGCGAGACCTCTGAAGAGTGCAAGGAGAACAAGGAAAATGGAATGGCCTGCGAGTTGAAAAATGGTGTCGAGGAAGAGGGGGAAAGTTGTAAGGTCGGGGAGTCGTGTGAAGGGGGTGAGAACGAACTGTCCTCTGTTCACGAACATTGCAATTGTAGTGACTCTGGAATTTCGAATGGAGAAAATTCCGAGCACACAAATTATAGCTCTGAAAAGTGGCCAAAGAAGGCCAAGTGTGATGGAGATGCAGCTTTTGGCAACGAAAGTTGTCATCCCAAATCCAGATGCCACGAGGAAAGACAGGAGGGGGACAAACCTTGTTCTGAGCAGGAGAGCGGGGAGTCGAGCCCTCGGCTCGAGCATGGTTGTGGTGAGGTAGGGTCGTGCACCGACCTTAAGGATGAGTCCTCCAACGGGGACCCTAATAGCTGTAATCACGACGAGAACGTGGAAGTGTGTTGCCAAAATGGCTGCCAAAGTGATTCAAATTCCGATGTCGAGGATAGACACCATAATTTACCAGTTGATGACGAAGAAAAACAATTGCTTCTTTCCATGGGGTGGAATTCGGCTGAACCCTGTCAGGTAAGAGCTTGAAGTACTGATCTTAAATAGTACACGGGTATTATACAGCTTGACATACAATATGTTTCCTATATAGTTGCTATATCCAGTGTAGTGTCAGATGAGGGCTTGGTTGTATAAAACTCCTTGACTATATTTTGCATACTTAAATCTTAGCTAACTCAGAAATACACGACTCTGATTGGCCAATTTTGTTCTTAAGTACAGTTAAAAGTTAACTAGTCCCAAAGTGTGCTTCATGGAAAAAATACAAAATGAAGGAATTTCCCAGTGATTGACTGCAAAACACTACCACCCCTCGATGCCGCTAGACACATATCTTGCTTGAAACAGAAGTAAAATAAGAGAATTTTTCAAATAATGTAGTGGATATATCTGTTTAGACTTCTGCCATAATTATGACAATAGTAAACGTCTCTCTTGCAACTTTAGGACGACAGCCGTGTTGAAACAGACCACGAAATCTCTATAGAAGAAATCTTGCATTTTAAGGCCAACCAGAAGCAACTCATCAACCAAAGACAGAAGTTACGCGAGAAGTTAAGAGAGCAGTTTAACAGCTTAAGCGTTACCGCGCATGCGTCACGCTAAGTTTCGTTACGTTGGGACAGTGTCACGTGACTTTCAGACCATGTCGCGTGCAATGCATAATTATAGAGTTGACGAATTGATCGGTGTGTTTGTTTCTCGTTAATCTGTTCACTATTGATATTTTAACCGCATGCTCGTGTTTGAATAAATAACCTGAAACCAAAAAAATTCTTACTGTTCATTCTTATGGCATACACTATGAAACTGCCCGAGAAATTGGTGCAGTACCACCAGCCAGAAATTGGTGGAGTACCACCAACCCAAAATTAATGTAAATAATTCAGGCTGAGAGTTCAGATTGGTTCTAACATAACGAGTTTTCAAGCACATTTTAACCTTTGATTGTTTCGCTTACACAAGAACCAATTCAGCCTGAAGTAAAAAGTTGTAAAGTTCTTTCATGTACTTTTTAATTTCTATGCACTGTTCTAATCCAGCTTTGTCAGCAGCTTTATCGTTAGAACGGTGGACTAGGTTTGAAAAACTGAACCTGGGGCAAGCTGGTTTTATTCGCAGGTTTTCTATCCTGCCAAAGTTGTGACAGTATAGTCAGTGTTGGTAAGCGCTGACTTCAATGACTTGATGACCAAATTAATCCTCAATTTTATACCGAAATCTCGGGAATTTTAGAGGGTTTTTTATTTTTTTATAACGTTAATATCGTCTTTTGGGGGATTTCGGAGACGAAGATGTTAGGAATGTAGAGGTCAAAATTTTGATAAAATTGTTTATTAATAAACAATTATATCAATCTTACGGCCTTGGACAATAAAACTGTCCAAAACTTTGCTATAAATAAAAATAACCTTTTGAAGTCCTGAAATAATGGTAATGTTTAAAGGAAATGTTATATTTACAATGCAACCTAACACATATAGGAATGAAATGTCTATTTCTCATAAATTTCAAACTCTTACTGACACTGCAGCTTTTTTTGGACAGCTGGAGGAGTTTCAAGCTTTGCAAAAAATTTGAAGGAAAATTTTTGACGGAAACATTTTGGGAAAATAGTTGCCCGTGGTTTGTTGCCAAAACGGTATTTTTATTTTTCAAACTTTCCCTCAAATTGAAATTCTCAATACTTTTGATCTGACATAAATCTCAATTGTAGTATTTTCGCACAAAAAGGTTTTGTAATTTGTAGCTGAAGTTCACCCTCTTAAGAAATGACGCACCTGAAACTCTAAGGCTAGTGTGTTGTGCTGGCCTGTCATTCACGAAACCAAATTGTTTGTAATAATATTCTTCAATGTCGATACCAACTGTGAAGAATATGGGCACAGCACAACATTGTTCAATTCTATTCATATTAATATTGCACCAATTTGATAATAAAAAACTCCCAGTAAATTATCTGCAGAAAAAGCAATATTATTATCATGTTTTATTTACACATTGCAGCACCATACAGATCTAATATTTAACTAACAAAATCTTCTGTATCTTCTTGTGTTCTAAATCCATAGTTGCACTACTGCACGCCACTTAAATTGATGGAATGAAGAGCTAATGAAATCTCAAACAAACATAATATTTAATCTTTTTGCAAGTTTGCAACTACAGTTCGCAGTGTAAAATATAAAATCCTCCAAACACATTTTAATAGAACAATGACTTAAGCTAAAAAATGAAAATGTCCTTTTGATATTGTTTATAGTTTTTAATATGTTTAATCTTCTAACTCTTGGTCCTCCACATCTTGTAATTCACTGTCACCAGGTTTGCTGGTACCTTGAAAACAAAAAACTTATAATCAATACAGCTGAATTATGCTAGGAAATATGTCAATTCTTGTTGTCTGTGAGAAATTTTTTTTCACAAAATAGCCATATTTTTGTTTGGTTTGTGTGGATGTTTTTTGACAAAGAGAATGGTGACAGATGGGGTTGAATTTGGTGGAAACATACAAGGCAAGTCACACAGGACTGATTGGCTGTACATCAGCTTGAATATGGTGAGCAGTGGAATAGCCAGTGATTACCAGTGACAGGGTGAGAATATGTGATGTAAATTTAAGAAAAGTGGACATTTTTATTACTATAATGCCCTGGCTATGTTCAAAAAAACCACACCATTTCCTCTCATCATATTTGGCTGATAGCTCCTATTAGCTCATATATGACCAATGCTCATGGTATCTCTATCATATAATATATGTAACTTGTTGAATGGAAGTATTTTACGGAAATTTGAGAATTTTGCTGTGGTACTTACCATCACTGTCTGGTTGCATGTCTGCCGTCCATAAAGTTAAATTATCTCTAAGAAGCTGCATAATTAAGGTACTGTCTTTATACGAATCCTCCTCTAGTGTATCCAGTTCTGCTATCGCATCATCAAAGGCGTTCTTGGCCAATCGACATGCACGATCAGGGGCATTGAGGATCTCATAATAAAACACAGAGAAGTTAAGGGCCAAACCAAGACGGATAGGATTTGTGGGTTGGAGGGAGGCTGCATCATCCATTGCCTCCTTGTATGCGACGAGCGATGCTTCTGCAAAGCTTTTCCTATCGGTGCCACTTGAGAATTCTGCGATGTATCGCTTGTAATCACCTTTCCTAAAAAAAATACAAAGTATTAAAATGCAACAAGCTCTGCATAAGAAGAATTAAGAAAGAATCTGATTACAGTGATTATTTCCAATGTTAAAAAATGCATCAAGCCAAGTGCATATGTTTGTTTACTAAAAAAATCACTAACACAGCCAGCTGATGGAAAATGGTCTTAATTGTGCATACTAATAAAGGCTTTGTATTAAGGCAGGTGCATATTTGACAATTTACTGTCCACTAAGCGAGGTTTTTTGTCTCTGATTGTCCAAAATCATTTGCAGTACTCTTAACGGTCACTTTTATCTAAAATTTCCCGGAAATACTACTCAATTTGATAGTTTAAAAAGCATCCGAGTTTGAAGGTTTGAAAAAGTGGAATAGTGCCATATACAAAGCTACGGAATGTAAAATTTTTACCGAATGCAAAATTGAGTAGTCCAAAGCTGTATAAACGTTTGCAGAGATTGTTATAGTTTTATGGACCTTGTGCATTACCGCAGAGCTCAATACCTTATCTAGACATGATACATTATCAGAAGACAAAGTTAAATTGTTAAACTTTTCAAAAACCGGAAATCGGTTTGTTTCATGCGAGTTCTCCGCATTGTATCGAGACAAAAAAATAGTGTATTTACATTTTCTTGTAAAAGACGAGCGACTCTGTGTTCGTTGCCGACGTTCCCTTGATTAAGTTACTTTCCAGAAGATCGAGTATGTCGTTGCAAATATCTTTGAGCTCTTTCTCGATCTTTTCGCGACATTCTTTGATTATGGCCAGCTTCTCTTCAGACATCGCTTTATCCTTTCCCTGTTCGGCTTCTTGCTTTTCCTTGCCTTCTATAGTACTCACAATCCGCCATGACGCACGTCGAGTTCCAATAACATTTTTATAGGCGACCGACAACAAATTTCTTTCCTCCGTATTCAATTCAATGCCCGTATTGGCAACCTTCTTCATGTATTGCACCATTTCTACATAAAATACAACGTCTTAGCGGGTTTGCTGACTCGCTTATCCGACGTCAGGGACGCTACGTCCGTTGACAAAATAACAAATTGCATTTCGGCCTACGCGCAACCTTTTTAAAATTAAACTCTCCGCGGTGAAATTTAATTCGACCGATAGGCATACGGGAGAATGTATCATCAATCGGCATTCATGAATGTAAATAAAGGCCATAGTTCGGCATGAGTGAGAATTTATCAAGGGGAATAAGCCACCCATAGCAACTAAATCATCGGGAGACAGTGTAAAGTTTAAGTACACCAGTGGGAAGGAAAGCTAAGTCAACATTTACCGTCATATCTTTCAGCCTGTTCGGCCAATTTCGCCATGAATACATCCTCGTCTTTGTCCGCCATCCTACTCTCTACGGATGGATTGGATTGAAAATATGGATACAATCTCTTCCAAATATATTGTTTTCAAAGACGGGTCGCTTACAAGGCAATGGACAACTTCTGGGCGTAACAATGTCACGTGACCAGAAGACGCCATAGCAGAATAGATATCCGCCAGATTCCGCTCATGTCGAAGGCTTTGATGTTTGCGCCTAAAATATTCCGAACCTTGAACCTAGGGTCTTTTGAAATATTCCGCGTTCATGTTTTCGACTTTTCGTCTAAAATGTAAGTGCAAACGTCATTTTCATTTTTCACGCCATCCCGCTGTGTGAAGCGAACCATTTAAATTGATACATTCATAATTCAAAAATCAGTCAAAGTCGTTAAGCTTTCCTGCCAACATCACTGGTGCATTTAGGGTAATTCAAAATAGATTATAACACCTCACATTTGGTTTCAAAGTAAAATCCGTTCTGCGCATCCATTTTGCTCATCACAATGTGAGACTATGTGAGAGGAGTTCTGATTGTGCTAAAATTACCAAACCCACTGCTATTCAACATGGTGAATAAACAGATGAAAATTTTTATTTGTAGATTTGCATTAAAAACCCGGGATTTTCCTCACCGGCTGTGGACAAACTTGCCAAAAGCGTGGAAGTTTTGCAACTGAAAAACTCGGTAATATTTCTCCGAGTGCTGCTTCTGGTAAACTCTACTCTGTTTCGTTTCGGGATTGCAACATACTACTTGGGGTGAAGTAGGGATATAAGGTGAACAGTGGATGCCAGCTGGTGGGCCATATATTTTTCGCGTACAAATTATACGAAGCCCGCTAAAAACATATTGTATAAAAGCATATTATGAAAAGATTATCCACCGAGTATTTAGTGTCGTAAATAAGGTTTTTATAGGTTTCATATCGAAATTTGAGAAAAAAAGCTCTCGCTTTTAGAAAAATGTTGAGTCACAAACACTCCTAAAATTCCCTAATTGTACCTGTTTCTCAACAGTGTTTACAAAATGGCGGATTGTTGGTGGAATTTAAATCCTCCGTTGAGTGAGAAAACTTTGGAGGTTTTAGATGAGATCGGTTTTAAAACAATGACACCAGTTCAAGTAAGCGATTGGCTTGTTGATTGTGTCATGATAAAGAAACGTTTCCGAGGCTCTCTAGTTTTGTAAAAATGACACAATCTACCAATATTTTCTCTTTTTACGGTTTTACCCACGTGTTCGCTTGAATTGAAGAAGCTGAATCAGTCTAATCACCATTATATTAGAAATTACAGACTGTTTCAGCTTTTTTAATTCGACCAAATGAACCAAATGCATTATAAGATAGCCCCAACTTAAGTCTTAATTCTTCAAGAGCGCCGCCTGACTGCCAGAACCAGAGGTAAAAAAGACTTAAAAAGCTGTATTTTTGTGTTTTAAAGAGAGTGGCAATTCCTTTATTTTTGACCAACAAAGATGTTGCTGCCGAGGCCGTGAGTATAAGATATGAACTTCTTGTATACCATGCACGTCATTGGTTTAGATCTTCAAAGTCCACACTCCACATTATATATACAAAACATTGTGAGGGTTCAAATCAGCATTTAACAGCATGTAATTTCGAGTCATGGTAATCTTCTGGGGCATAGATAGAATGATAATTGGGGGTAATAATAGGGCACAAGACTAATAGGGTGCAACATTGTGATGATGTCACCAACTGGGTAAGCCGAAAAATTAGCTTGACCACAGTGGGAATCAAACCTAGCAATTAGCAAACCAAAGGTCGTGGGTTTGATTCCCACCATGGTCAAGCTATAATTTTTAATGGTCAAGCTTGGGGGTGTTTATTCTATTCGTATATATTCAGTTCATCTAGATGGACTTCTGTTGTAAACTATTGCACTTACAAAAAAAATCTGTTAGGCAGAACTGAATATATGAATAAACACCCTTCCAAATATTGTTCTAGCCATACCACTGGTAATCTGGTTCCACATACAAAAACGTGCAAGTTGTAAGAAGTTTTCAAACAGGTTGTTGCAAGTTTCTTCACAAGCTGCCAACAAGATATATTCGCACTGCTTGCTTATATATAGTTGTTGTAAAAAGTTTAGGACAAGCTGTTAACAACTTGTAGGAAATTCATGTATGTGATATTTTTATGACTGTTTCATAGTGATTATGATTCAGATATGAATTTTTAATTTACCGTAGGTTACTGGTTCTGGAAAAACTCTGGCTTTTGTTATTCCAATCATTGAAATACTTGTTAAACAACATAAGTGAGTACATGGACAAACCAATCATAATTATACTAAGCACCTGGAGCCACAAGTTGCGTTTAACTTCAGCTAGACCTTTATTTCTTTTTTCAGGGAAAGAAAATGGAAACTCCATGATATTCTTGCAATCATTGTTACTCCAACAAGAGAACTTGCCATCCAAATTGATGAAGTTTTACAACTGTTTACAAAGCAGCTCTCATTTTTGAGGTAAGAATTTGATGGCAAATGTGATCGATATATTATTACATTATTTAGAAATTAGTGTAGTTGTTGTGACTATATTTTTATCTGCTTCAATTGATGAAGGCAAAGTTTATTTATTGGAGGAACAAATCCACGTCAAGTTGTACGAAAGTTTAAGAAAGATGGGTAAGACTTTTGAAATTGGCTATTGCATGCATTGATGTAATACATCACTTACAGTATACTTCAGTGACTGGTATCAAGATTAATTATATTAAACAATAATTTATATGAATAATTATATTTGCTAGTTTAATTCATAATTTTTAATGGAAAACCACTGTTTTATATATGAGTTAACTGTCTTTATACTAGTTGACCCAAAGTGTTGATTCAGACATGAAAATTGGTTAACTAGTAATATGCAAAAATGCAAGAAAGATTTGACTTCAAAACTGTAAATTCATAGCAAAATAAACTAAGCCACCTAGGGGTTTTGTGGCTGGTACTCCCCAGCCAGGTTCATTAGAAATACAGTAATGTTGGTTTCAACATTTTATTTACCAATGCAACATTATGTGTGAGTAAGATTTCACATCAAATACGTAGAAGTATTTTAAATGGAAATTATTGTCTCTTTTAGTGGTAATATAATAATTGCAACTCCTGGAAGGCTGGATGACATTTTTTGTCACAAACCTGATGGCTTAGATCTTGCTGCTTGTGCTAAAACCTTGGTATGGGTATTTCACTGATGGGTGATTCTCTGGTCAGACACATGTGTGACATATATTTGCTGTTTCTTAGGCTTCGTATTTTGCATGTAACAAAATAGAATAGCATTGTCATGTGTGTGACCAGAGAATGATCCATCAATGAATTTTTTTACTATTAGTTATGCAAGAGTCAATTCCAGGTGCAACTGTCTAATGTAGCAAATCAAATAAAATTCCCAGGATGGTCACTCCTGGAATTGACATTAAAAATGATAAGTAAACTTTCAGTTCCTCAAAAAAGTTCTACACTTCCAAAAACACTAAAATAAATATGATGTTGGTAGTGATTTTCATGACCCCCCAAATTTGCATTGATAGCCAAATTTGCACTCCCTTGCTAATGTGATGAAGATACCTAATTCCTCATTCCTTTCCTTCAAAGGAAGTGCTGGTTTTTGACGAAGCAGATCGTCTTTTAGACATGGGGTTTGAGAAAAGGTACTAGCTGATATCATGCACTAAAGACTGTCGTCTATATATAGAGCCCATTTAGGGTATACAGTATTAAAATCAATTTATGCAATTATTTATAACTAACATTTGAGAACTAGGTAGGCGAATTTCATTATTTGAAGCTTCCATATTCACCATTTTTTGGTGTAAAAATAATTTTGATGCGTCAAAAACTGTTTTTATTCTATTTAGATGGGAAACGGACAGTTGTCAATTATTTTTCCGTCCCAAAGTATTTTTTTATTTTCAATGATTTTTTTTACTTTGTTTGGTTGAATGAAAGAATCAGCATAGCCAATTTTTATGTTTGTTCGTAAAAGTTTTAATTTTGCCAACTCCTCTTGAAATTGTGGCACAAAATACTGAATCACAAGAAGCCCAAAAAACACTTCTTATTTGGCTTCTGAAGTGCAGGGGCCGGTTGTATCAAGTCTCCGTTTAGCTTAAACGGTGGATAAGTTCAAAATAGAAAGCAAGTCTGCCGTTTTATTCAACATGCGAACTAAATGTTTTTGACCTTAATAGAAGCTACTGTTTACAACTATGCATATTCAGTGGCATAATATTCAAGTTGACTCATTCAAGAGAGATGTAAGAGTGTTATTTAATTTTGACTTAACCGCCGTTTAAGCTTAACGGGCTTGATACAACCGGGCCCTGGTCTTGAACTCGCAAATAGCCATTCCGACCGTGGTCAAGCTAATTTTTCAGCTTGCTCGGTTGGTGACTGAGAGTAGCAGCATCATATACATTTGATAGTCATATCACTTTTAGTTTTGCCAGCTTGATTTGTCGAAAAATGTGGAATAAACTCCCTCCATGCAATTTTCAACTATTATTAATTACCTTTTTTTTCTGTAATTTTTCAGCATCAACAGCATCCTTGGTTTTTTGCCAAAGCAAAGACGTACGGTATGTATATATAAGTAAATACTCACTACCAATATTATAGTGACATGCCCGACGAAATAAAAGCAAATATTAGCAAGCTAGGGCTTTCCTTTTAAATGAAATACCAAATAATTCTGACCAGACTTCGTCTTGAACTGCCTGCCGACTTGCGTATTCTAATTGCAGAATGTAACTAACTTGGCGCCGGTCTGTCTGTCTTCAAACCTTTGCTACATACTTGACGCCTGCCCGTCGCCAAACAAAAATCAAGTCTAATTTAGTTTTTCACCGTCGGCCTTTTACAGACGTGCAAATGACGTGTTTATTTTCGTTCAATTTTCAGACGAGCCGAAAATTATTTATGAATGAAAATGAAATTAACATTTGTTATTTGCGTACTACGTAGGCCAATATGGGTCCATGAAGTTTCCCGTTTTTATAAAACAATCTAGACTATAGTCATAGAAAGCATTCCTACTTTATCGTGCCGAATCATTTTGTGGCTAACCAGTCAGGCTCCTAAATTCTGTCCATAATACATCTGAAAAACAGAAATGCAGCCGAAATTTCCATTGCGTGTAAAAAGCGCGTATACTATAGTCTGTGAAAACTTTTCCGTCTTAATATCGATCAAAAGTCAACTCAAAATCATTAGTCATCACAACACAATTCACAATAATTCTTTTCCTTCGGCAGGGATTGTTCTCGGCAACCCAAACAGATGAACTGGAAGCGCTCGTTAGAGCAGGATTGCGCAACCCTGTCCGCATTACTGTCAAGGAGAAAAATAGCACTACTAAGGTTCGTATAGTTGATACAATTCGTAGGTGATTTTCCAAATTTTTGCGAATGAAATATCTTAATATAGGAAGTTCTGTGCTAGACGTTATAGGTGAGGATGGGAAATAAGAAGATATCGTTTAATTTGCCCTTATAAAATTCGCACTTTTTGCCAACAATCCTCGCTCATCCTGAATACTTTATTCGTATTTTTCATACGCCTGTGATTCAAAAAGGTCAGCCTCAGTCACTCATTGAAGCCCCGTTTACACTACACTAAATTTATCAGCACGGCACGGCTAAAATGGGCACCCGTACCCAATTTTATTAGTGTTCAGGCTACCAAAACAAAGGCCGAGTACAGATGAAATGGGTACGGGTGCCCATTTTAGCCGTGCCGTGCCAATAAATTGAGTGTAGTGTAAACGGGACTTGAGTGTAACACAGGAAATGTGTTAATGTTATTATTGATCAGTTGTCTTATTGATTGTCCTATCTTAATCAATGGAAAGGTGAAATATTGGAATTCAAGTACTTATTTGAGTCGAAATACATGCATGTACCGCAAAGGAATCGCCATGTTGCGGAATGCTTGAGATTTCCCATGCACTCAATGGGTTTGAGTGTGAGCGAGATTTAGGCCGGCAATAGTCTTCATGACTTTGTCGATTCTTCTAGTCGCAGGTTTCGCATGGATGTGTGATTTGTAGTATATCGAACTTCTCAACTTGGTCAATTTCTTCCAGGTTAACCAAAGAACGCCTGTTTCGTTAGAAAATTATTACTCGGTGTGTATCCAAACCCGTTGAAATGACATTATGTGTCTGCTTAGGCCGTGTCGTGTTTTTCCAGAGATTCTAATTCGAACTTATATTTAGGTGGTGTTGCCTGAAGAGAAAATGTCGCGGTTGATTGCGATGCTGAGAAAAAACAAGGTACACCTAAATTGACTTGCATTTATAACTACGTTAACACGAGAGTTGTTACCTGGGTAGGATTTTCGATACGGGGAGATGTAAACAGGCGCGTCGGAAACAGCTGGGAGAGGAGGGGGGATAAACTCCCAGGGGGAAAAAACGTGTCATCATTCTCGATCGATAGGATTACCACACACCATACCTAGTTCATACCATTTGATTTCCGAGAAAATATCTTAATATATCGTTATATCTCAATATATTGTCCAGCCGGTCAGGTAGTTGTAAAATGGGAAAATTTTCCTCAAAAGTTCATATTTTTATGCCAACAATCCAGGGTTTCCTGACGAACTGTTATATAGAGGATCAGTGCTGTGCCATGCACGAGTAATATATTTATAAAATTTATTCCGTTGCGTTTAGGACAAGAAGGTGATCATTTTCTTCAGTACATGTGCAAGCGTTGACTATTTCACCGTGCTTTTAAAGATGTAAGTTAATTTATTAAGGAAAAACGTGAGATTTTAAATTTGGGTGGGTTGCGCTTGAGTTTGTACATGACGCTTAAACGTCTCTTGCAATTATACCTATTAGAAAAGAAATCTGTAATGTTACTATAACTAATATACCACAATAAATATCATGAACAGTAACCCCTACCATGGTATATCTCCTGCATCATACCCTTATGTAAACCACATGAACTTTCTTCTAGATTCCTGAAAGATACAACAGCGATGTCGCTACATGGAAAGATGAAAAACAAACGATACAAAATCTTCGATGCGTTCAGAAAACTACCGAGGTGAGAAAACATAATTATTGTACCACCTCTGGGTGTAGGCCATTTTTCAGCATGCCAGGATTGTGCCCAAATTCAGAGCGCCGTGTTCCAACTACGCCCCAACTTACGAATTCTGAACGCGCCATCCTGGACCATTTCGCATCGAAGAAAAAAAACTTGGTCATGACAATGACAACAAAATGGACACAAATCTTAACGTCTGTATTCTAAATGCACACTTACACCGAAACTCATTGAGTGGAAGATCTCAAACATAACAATTTTTAGCTTTTCTCTTCAGTTTCTTAATATATAACGTTTGTATAACGATCCATGCAATATGGCGTTTATATAACATGACGTAGCTTCTTGAGGCGTGGTCCTTCCGCTTACACTTGCAATATCATGTTATTTACACTACACTGGATTTATACACATAACAGCAACAAGAGACTGATCAAATAGTCCTTTCCTGTAAGATATTTCACTGGTTATTTTTTCTTTAGCGGCGTATTGGTGTGTACTGATGTAATGGCGAGAGGTGTTGATATACCCGAAGTTCACTGGGTAATTCAGTTCGACCCACCAAGCAATGCAAGGTGATTGATTCAAAACGGGGTCATTTTGTGGTGTGTAGTATGGATAAATAACATGAAGTACTTCGTATTCATCAAAAATTACTTTAATTTCTCCGAAAATTTCAGTGCATTCGTTCATCGCTGTGGAAGAACAGCAAGACTTGGGAAACAAGGTAGTTGAATCAGTTCACTGAGTTGAATTAAACCTTTTTTAAACGGTGTTTGAGAAACCTATTCTTTCACTTCTTAAGTAAGTATTCTTTCTGTACGAACTTTAATCTTTATTTTATTATTGTTTGTCCCAGGAAACGCCCTTCTTTTCTTATTACCAAGTGAAGACAGCTACGTGGAATTCTTAGCAATTAATCAAAAGGTATGTATACGATATTCTTGCGAGGCAAATGCCAAGGGTTGTCTCGATAGTAATTATATTAATGATTGTATTAGTTATGAGACTGTGATCGGCATATGAAAATCCCATGAGAAATTCCCCTGGACGAAACTCTTTCCCCGTCGGTTCGAACATTTCTCTCTTATTTCATTTTCATATCATTCGTTCTATTCACGTGCAGGTTGTTTTGCAACAATACGAGTTGGATGAAGTCTCAGACGTCATTCCTAAACTAAGAAAACATGCAATTAAAGACAGGTAGACGCATGCGTAGTGGTGTGCTAACATGTTCTTGGTTTGACACACGTGCATTTTCTCGTCATGTGTGTATTGAATGTGTACCCAGCTAACCAATGTAGCTGCTCGACTTACATAACTGCTCGTCCGTAGCGTCAACAACTTGTTACTGTAACTTGAAACATCACAGTTTGTTGTTTTGGCAAATTGGTTGATAATTAGAGGGGGGAAAACGAACAAACATCGATTTCAGACATAAAGAGGCATGAACGGAGTTGTCGTAAACATTATTATAGCCTCTAAACAATGTATAATATAATTTATCCAAATTTCAAAATATCCTTGGATATCTCCTAAAATTTTGCAATTTCAACTACAATTACATTTTACAAATATGCTTTGATATCTCCTTGCGTTAGCATTTTGATAGACTTGCTACAAGTCGACTCTTTAAACCCACACGCGAGCTTGAGCGACTGAGCGTAGCGAGGTCGCTCAAGCTCGCGTATGGGTTTAAAGAGTCGACTTGTAGCAAGTCTAGCATTTTGATACCTCCGTTCAATTTATCTGTTCTTTTTCATAAGCAAATCACTTTGACTTTTTTTAGAGAAATTTACGAGAAAGGTATCCGAGCTTTTGTCTCCTTCATCCAATCCTACAGCAAACACCAGTGTAGTTTGATCTTTAATCTCAAAGGTATGTTGCTCTCGGTGTGTCTACGTTACTTAGGGTGTTGATGGAGGGGGGGGGGGCTGCTCGCGTTTCGTACCTCGTTCTTAGGGCAATGGGGGGACCTAAGTTCATTAATTCGGATTTTCAGATATTTCGGAGTTGAGAGGGTATTGGTATTTTGTGCGAACCTGTATTTTTGTTTTCTGCACAGATGTGATAATTAGACTAAGAATAATCTGCTGCAGTAAACCACGTTAGAAATGGAAAAACAGAAACAGTTGAGGAAAATCATCAACTGTTGTGTTTCTCCGGCAGTAATTGAACAAAGTCGATTGAAATTGAACGCCCTTGCAAAGTCGTTGCGATGTTCTCACTACTATATAAGCGAACGGTCAATGGTAAAATTAAGTTGGTAACGTCTGCGAACCTGTAAAGGTAAATCTGCAGGCAGGGTTAATGATCTCGTTAACCCATTTACCGACTCACTATGATCAAGTCCGTGTAACTTCACTACTCTGCTCATACTAAAATTTATGACCCAAATTGTGTTTAAATAGCGTCTGATAATGCGAACGTCGTCAATATTTATCTAATGCTTGCCTTTTTTGCTATTTGATGATACTACTTTAGTACTTTTAAAAAGCGCTTACGCTTGCATCAGCAAGATTTGTTGAAACCCAAATACTTATCTCTAAAGATTCTTCCCTCGACGATTTTCTCAAAGATGCTGACTTCAGCAAAATTTATGCTGACTAAGCAGTAGTCGTAAATTCCTTAAATTTATGTGGGGCGTGAAAGTCATCGTGTAAACGATCTGTTCTTAGAATTGGATATTGGAAAATTAGCGTACGGGTATGGGTTGCTGCATCTACCGCGCATGCCCGAACTAAAAGGGCGGGAAACTGTGAACTTTGACCCCGTCGATGTCGACCCTGTGTCAATACCGTATAAGGACAAAATCCGAGAAAAACAGAGGCAGTTAAAACTAGAACAAAATAAAGTGGAAATTCCGCAAACCAGGAGACCCAAGCGGAAAACGGAGAATGAAGCCTGGTCTAAGAAAAAAGAGAAGTTGAAGAGAAAGGATTTGAAAAAAAAGTTGGACAAGGAAAATGAGATTAGTAGAAATAAGAGGAAGTTGAATAAATTAAACGAACAGGAAATGGATGAACTGACCAAAGAGGCGAGGTTAGTGAAGAAACTGAAGTCTGGGAAAATAACCAAGGTGGAGTTTGAAAGACAGGTTGGAGACGATGATGATAAACTGGAGTGAGGAAATGTTCAGGAACAGTTTGCGTAATAATCGGGCTCTCTCAATGATGACGTATCACAAAAGTTGTCGGACATCTTGGATGGCGTAAGCCTTTTTCATAATCGATTACTACACACCCTTGCACTTTATAATCTTCCGAAAGATGTTAGCCGCGGTACCACGATCTCAGTGGCATTCTGTGTTTGTTTTTCTTTGAACTAACAGTATTTTTACTCGCCATCAAAATGGCAGAAGATAAAATTTAATATTATGACCTATGACGTTCCTTGCAAGAGCCCAATAGGCATATTTGGCTAACGTTTGTTTACATTGTCGATACTTGATTAAGAAGCGGATAATTGAGTATCGTTCACTCTTGTAAATATTTTGCCTAGTTACCTCACAATAAACAAACGCTTGCCAAAATTGGTCTGCTACACTTCAACTTCGCATTTTGCGGTTAAGTTCTAGTCAAAGAAGAAATGGTAAGAAATAATTTCTCTCATTTGAACGAGTTTTAAAACTATATAAAGTATTCTTGCACCGTTTCACAAATATTTTGTTCGAAGGAATTCTATGTCTGCCGATACTTGACAATTCATTTACTCCCATGATAACTTTGATTGCTTTATTAATACAATTAATTCCAAGATGGTATTGTTGTTGAAGTTTAAAACTTTCGCAAATTGTTTTAATAGTGATACCACACATGATATAAACCAATGTTATCATCCAATCGTCCAGAAACATGTATACAGCTCAACATGACACTATATGCTGGAATTGAGTCTGTTGCTATAACGTTTCTGTTGTTTTTTCCATTCCACTGTTCTCGCGTGAAATCCACCACTGCACCTACAAAACTCCAATATAAGATATGATTTTTCCTTGACAACACAGTCAAAGACGATTCTTTGTTTTCATAGCTTCCTTAAAACGTCGTTGTTTCCTCCACATTTCTGTTAGACAACCAGAGATACAACGGAAAACCGGTTGCCGTGAATGTTGCGACGAGAAAGCCAAAGTTAACCTGTGAAAAATGTTCAAGGTTTACATTTTAATCTTGGTAATAGGTTTTACCTGTGACACTTAAGTTGCATCTATGGGTTTAACAATTGCATAACGTGCACAACAAAACATTAATTTGGTTCTGAAAATAGGTTCTCTGCTATCTTAGGTCTTCGTATTTGCCGCTTTCGGTATCTTGACCTGGTTGATATAGACTAGCTGTTTACTCTTATTCATATCTGTGGTGCAGTTCCGTATATTGACGGGGCCAAACAGAACTCGTGTCTTTACGGAACTTTATATACTGTTACATCAAATGACGTAATTGTTTTACATACCCAATAAGGATTTCCGTTGCTCGGTCCATCAATCAGCACTATTGCTGGATACTGAAGTAAACTTATTACTGCTCCAACTAATGTAATAAATCCATAAAGTTTACCATAGTGTTCTACAGGAAAACTGATAAAGAACACTTATGATGCAGGTAAATTCTAGAGGTTTTAAAGGGTCTTGATGGTCTTAATTTCGAGTAGAATTATACACACTTCAAATTCAATTGAGTCAATTTAATGACTCGTTTTCCCATCAACTGTTCCTGGCTTGAATTTGAAGTGTGTATAATTCCACTCGAAATTGAGACCCTTTAAAACCTGATAAAGAACACTATTAGACAATTCACATGCCAAATCAACAAGCACACAAGATGTACCATTTTCCAGCAAGATAAATGAATATTATTTATATCAACTATAAAGATGCAGTTCAATGGTTAAGCACTTACGCTCGTAGTGTAAATGATATTAACGCAGCATATAGAAAAGCTCTCATCGAAACTTGCACAACAAAAGCGAAATACTAGAAAGATGTAGAGGGTGATAAATATGCATAAAATACTATTCAAAACATTTGTTAGAATAGTGAAAAAGTGAAGTTACTAGAAAGATGTAGAGGATGATGAATATGCAAAAAATACTATTTAAAACATTTGTCAGAATACTGAAAAAGTCGAATTACTAGAATGATGTAGAGACTATTTTTGGGACGTGAACAAAGAGTTTGTCCTCAAGACAATCCCATGGTGCACTGCTAATCTCGCTATTACCAGTCCACTATGCAGAGAGAATCTCGTTCCCCAAGCCCAGCGATTCTAGCGAGAAAACGAAAAGTCTGGGATAATAGAAATCAAAAATGATTCTGATTGGTCGTTGTGGAATCTTGTGATACAATACATAAAGTTGCGAGTAATACGTTCCAGCGACATTTTTATTGTGATTTATAACTGCTGTAAAATAAAACCAACTGTCGTTCAATGTTTGCAAGTTTTTTTTTAAATGTATCAAACGTTTTCAACACATGCGCAGTCAGCATTAGCCAGGTTTTCTGGGTTTCATGCAGTTCGGACTATCCCAGGGTTTCCGTTTCCTCGCTAGAGGATCGTGGGCTCGAGGAACAAGATTGAGGCTATGTGCATGCACTCGGTAACGTTTTCGAGCGCTTTAACATTCATTTTCATGCCAAAACGGTTTCAAACACCGTCAATTTACAATAGAAGTTAAAGCTAATTTAACCTATTTTCCCTGGGATCGTGTGAACAAGGCGTCTAAACAATAAAATTGACAAAAACGATTTTGAAAACGCTCGTAAACGACACTCGTGTGCACATAACCTTAAGATCCGTTCCGATCCGATCCCCTGCTCGTTTTCCGGAGTGGAAATTAGCCTTGAGACTTCATAAGATTACCTGGATTTCAAGAACTGGTATCAGTACCAGCGCTCCCAGGGTGATACAAAGTAGTAGTGTTATACCAAAGCTTATCAACGGGCCATAATATATGTTGTTGACGTCTCTCGGCTTCAGGTTCATCACGATGCCAGTAAGAGGAGCGATTAAGAAGCCAAAAAACTGAGTTAGACCAAAACTTTCAGAATATCTTTCAACTAGAAAAACATATAAATATTATAATTTTAATCAAACTGCATTTCAGAAAAATGATAAATATATTATAATTTTACTTTATGGCACATTGAAGTGTGCCATGGCGCTTGAATGTCCTGATTAGTTAAATTTTAGTAAACTTAAAATAGACGATTTCGCATGATTCGTCAATTCTGTCACCATTCTAAGTTGTTTTTAACCAATTGAATTGGTTGAATCGACCATTTTAAATGGTTACAACCTTATTCATTCAGCTTTTACAGTTCTTGGTTTTGAGTTTACTACTTTTTTTACATACAAGGGCCCAGGATTTTAACAAAATGTACACAGCACATTGATATGTTACAATGTTACAATATGTTACAAATTACTTAATGGTTTCCGTGTTTGGATGGCGTCATCCAAACACGCTGGAATGTTGCGAAAGTTCAGGAAAGCGCGCGAAACCTGTGCCGAAGGCGAGTAAACCATGAAGTAATTGTTTTATAAAATAACAACAACAAGGTAGTGTTCCAAGTTGATTTCAATAAACGAATTCAATTTCCGTGTTTAGATTGCCTGATCCAAGCACGGGCTTTGACCAATGAGAACACACGTTCTATATATAATATTTACTATTTAAATGTAGCGCTTGATTATATAAATATTCAAAGCGCTGTACAATGTCATAAATACATATTCTAAATATTTCTACTAAGAAAAACTATTTATTTTATAATTACCTCTCCCCCAAGTCTTAATAAACGATAATTCAATGATGATTAGCAAAAGCGACTTACTTGTGTCTTTGTCATCGTTTGTGTAATAAATAAGATAACCGTTTAAATTACCAACGAAGAACCACAGACGCAATTGAATAAGACTGAAGAAAAACATGAACCAGAGATATCTTGGTGTCAGAATATAACGCCAGCCTTAACAGAGTTAAATTTACTTAGAATTTATATCGATTCAATTACTGATATATATGGCAGATAATATATATATACTCCAAAATCTATATTTTATATATACTCCGGCCATAATCTATATTACGATCAAGTCTAGCATTTGAAAACATCCAGTAATATTTGTAGTTCAGTTGTCACGCCCTACCTGAAGCGTACTTGTCTTCCTCGGGCGTTGTTGACGCCGCAGGCGTTGAAGTATTTTCCACAGGTTTACCGTTTTCTAAGGAGAAGAAAATTTTCATAGTATAAAGCTAACTAGATCATACTCAAAACTGTTCAATAAGTTATGATGTTCAAATCATTGGTCAAACTGTAGGAAAGTTACCTATAAATCAGTGTTAAAACTTATTAGATCTGCTTATTAGAACACGTCTTCCTCATTTTGAGTGCCACAGTGATAAAAAAAATTAGGAACCTTACAGTCTAATTGGATTGGATCCCTGATGGGATTGCATACAGCCTACATGTACTCGGAAAAATCGGGCTTTCATATCAGAATTTGAATCACTCACAAACCTATAGCTGATTGTTTGTTTATATCGTCGAATTCTCTAACGCTCGCGACCGATTGGATTACCATCTCCTGATTGACTTCAGGGTCTGACGTCATCGCTTGATTGCTGACACCTAATTCCACTCCGGGTTTCGCATTGAGCCCTTTCGACAGCCCAGGTTTCACTGCGGTTTCCTGGGAAAATTCCTCCAGTTCGGCCGAAATGGTGGTCTTCGGGAGCAGGACGAGCGTGGTAGTTGATATCCAGACTATTGCGATGATCGCATAACCCATTAGGACCCAACGTAAGGCCACCCCAGAATCATAAATTGTCTAAAATCAAAAAATTGGTCAAGTATGCATTTCATGCCATAAAATCTAAAAATACGATGTGCTGTCTGAATATCTAAGGGCTGTTTACATGAGCCCGGTTACCCGAGATTCATCGAAGCATGAGATGATTTTGAAGTATTAAAATGAGCAGATGACATGATCCTGTCAGTCGTATAATCACCACAACAATAGCATGAGCATGTTTGGTGTCATATCGACTTATTTCAATACCTGAAAGTCCTCTCACGCCTCGTTGAATCTCGGGTAACCGGGCTCATGTAAACATGCAGCTCCTAAGACCATTTAGGTTCGCTAGTCGCGGGTCGCAATGTCGAGAAAGTGCGCAAGGTTTACGTTTTTAACTGCGCTTTATAAGATACTGTAATATGATTGCTCTGTATTGTATATTTTACAAGGGAAAGCGCCTCAGCGCCTGGGTCTGGGTACGAGACTGAGGGTCTGTTTACATGATCCCGGTTAGCCGAGATTTGACGAAGTGTGAGATGACTTCGAGGTATTGAAACGAGTATATAACACGATCCCGCCAATCGTGTAACATCCCGACACTGGCATGTGCTCGTTTGGTGTCATAAACACTTATTTCAATACCTCAAAGTCACCCCACGCTTCGTCAAATCTCGGATAAACGGGATCACCTAAACAGCCCCCAAGTGTCTTGGGTCTCACCTTAAAAATCAGGAAGACAACCGAGGAAGCATCCAATGCACCGCTCAGAGAACTGGAGACGATTGACTGGTGCTTCCGATGTAGAATTGCTATCTACAAATAGAAAATAACACTCTCGTTGGATTTTTTTTCATCGGATTGTAACACGATGTGACACTAGCAAACATTCACCAAAATACAATGCGCTTTTTTCAAACCTGAAATATTGGCATGGCGACAAACATTCCAGCAAAGCCAAGGGAAATGATCAGAGGGAACATAAGATTAGCCGTTTCTATGAGTAAAATGCAGAAATATTATATTTTTCATGTTGCATTCGGCCATACCACATCTTCACAATAAAATGTCCTGCAAATTCTTCATATACTTCGTTTAAACTTTCTACTAAAGCGTTTATGAAAGGGTAGTGTCGCAGCTTCTCGCAAGAATGATTTTCATTGGCTGAACTTTACAATACATTTCTGTTTCAGCCAATAGCATAGCCTTCGTTCTTTAGAAAGCATAGAAAAGCATTATCCAATTGGACGAAAACTTCCGACAGCTGCGACATCTCCCTTATGAAATGAAGTGGGATCTCGGGTTGGGACTTCGTGGCCCGATCTGTAGTCTGCATTACAGGTGCTTTGGGTTAAGGGGCGGCCCTCAGGTTTCCTAGTATTGCCCCGGGGGATAGGAGCTTGACATGCACTATTAGCAGTAACAAAATCTTATACATGCCAAGTGGAATACCTTTTTTCAACAGAAAACCAAATAGTCCAGTTAAAAAGAAGAAAAAACTATAAAATAATATTAAACAATTATATTAAAATTTGCACTATTAATTGGACCTAAACAATATAAATGAATATTGTGGCATAGGCCCTCTTTTGCATTCGTCAGAATGATAATTGCATACAACTTATCGTGTATAGTCTAAATAGGCCTTTTATTTACTATAGCAATGTTGAAATGTTTGATATGTCACAACGATTACAGGCAATAAATGAATGTCTTCGAAGTTCGAACGACATTTTGTATCACCAAGCAGGGACGTTGGAACGATGCGATGATGGCAATGGGGGGGGCAGATTTTCGTGAAAGCCAATAGGAATCAATAGCAATAGGGTAAACCAACGCGAGTGCCGTTGCCGGCAAGATACGTGTGTGCGAGTCATTGATCAGTTTAAGCATTATTTGCAAAGGTCAAGAGTTTTGTAACTCTATTGAGCATCACGCAATGTATAGACATTACTTTGGCCCGATCTTTACATAGATCAGTGGCTAAGCTGAGCAAGCGCGCGTGGGTTCTGCACATTCCAAGGCTGAACACTCCAAGCAATACAGCAGTTCGACGTTAAATAATAGGAACCTTAAGATGCACCAAATCTACGACGCGGACCTAATAGCTTTCGGAGCGACGCCACTGAAATAGATGTTCATAAAATTTCAACTCGAAAATCTCATGATTGTTTCACATATGCGCATTTTGGTAATGTTAACACAAGTTTAATTCTTTTCTGAAAAAGTGTTCAGCAATCTCTTGAAAGCGCATCATATACTATTCGTACACATATCTAGCAGCTGTGAAATAATCCTTTTGGGGCTTAACTTTAACCCCGCGGGTGTGTGTCAGGGGGGAGGGCAAGCTTGAAATATTTAGTGCAAGAAATATTTTGTTAGCTAGGTATTTATGAATCTTTTCTTTGCGAAATTTGTGGAGAAACGTAGCTAATCCATATGCATCAGTGCCAAGCATTTCCGAGCCGGCTTTACACTGTCGCTGGAAAATTGCATCGCCTGTATAACCACAGTAACTAACCTGGTTTAGCATTACATGATCCTCGCTTACCTGAGATTAATCGAAGTAGATTTGAAGTATCACAAACGAGCTTTTCAAAACTAGCACGATTAGTTTAATTACTAATTTCAATGTCTTTCAGTGATATTTACTTGCTGCTGTGGATGTATGTATATATCGGCCATCTCACGCCTGAATTTCACGCCTTAGCGCCTGCCACAAAAATTAATGTCTTAGGGCCCTCCACAGACAAGGAATTTAGTTGTCGACAACTATTTGCGATCGACAACTAAAAAACGTAGTCTGTCGCGCAAGGTGTCGGCAACTAAACTCTAAATTATTAGTTGTCGACTCGAAGGCCTCATTTTTGGCGTTTTTCTAGTGTCAGTTGTCGACCTACTCGACCACTATCTCCGCGCTATTTCGGTTGCTAAATCAATATTTGGGCGCCAGCGTGCATGTTGAATCCTTTATTCGACTTATTTAGTCGTCGATAACTTTTAGTTATCGATCACACTATCACAAATAGTTGTCGACAACTAAATCCCTTGTCTGTGGAGGCCCTTATTGCACAATTTTGAACGCGATGAGTGAGCCCTGAAATAAATTGCTTGATTCAAATATACATATTTGCTGGCTTTTGTCAATTCCAGACGAAGTGACTGCTTTGAAAACATCGAGCTCATTCTGTTAAAACAAAACGCAGCAAATCATTTTTATTCGCACGAGAAATTTCTATCTGCACAAGAAATCTGCTTGTTCGCATTATCGCATCGCGACGGGCCATTCCTGTCCTAAACTTATCATAACGCAACCTTTATATCCCGAATTCAATTGCACAGCCAAAGTAATATACTCCTACTTTTATCCTAAATATATATCGTTTATCCAAAGGGTATATCCTACGCTGTAAAGGTTAATAGAATGTTTATAACACCGGGTGTTATTATTTCACCGTTTTTTTTTTAATTCTTTCTGGTCGACAAGATGTTTAGGATTTACCGATGCAAAACTGTGGTCACAGATAATTCAACAAATGCATACATCTAAACAGTGCTTGTTGAAGCGCGTACCACGCACGTTATCATGTTCATTACCATTTAAATAAACTAACAATTTTGCAAGTACCGCAAAAACATCGTGATCATTTCATCTAAATATAGTGTGACACAATTGATTTTCGCTTACCACGCTATCAATCTCACAACCCGGGTGCCCAGTTTGTCCAACATTGCTCCGCCGATGAACCCGGCGACATTAAAAGCGAATACACCTAACGTGAATATCAGCGCCAACCGCTCGTCCTGCGCGCCGCAGACATCGGATTTATCGTCTGTTTTTTCGCGTGTTATTGACGTCGAAGCATTGCTATCTCTCTCCTCGCATAAATCTCGAAATAACTTTTCGTCTTTTAGGACCAGCACCAAATTCGCCCAGCCAAATATGACGCCGGAAAATAAAACCATCTCTAAGATGCCAAATACCGTACGAATATTCGTCTTCAGTTGGGACGGCATGGTTTATTCTGAGATATGTTTTGAACAAGCGCACAGACTGTCTGATATTCAAACTTTTTTGCCCTCCCGTTAATTCGTTAACCCGGCTCTAATCCACTGGCGGACGTACTAATATTCCTCAGTTTTCCCAAACTTCCGTTGATCTTCCCCTTGAAATTGCTAGTCTAGAAAAGCGCTAGTAGTTTCTGCTCAAAATGCCAACACGTTTCTTATGTCACGTGCATGGTTTAAAGGAATCTTGGGCCCGATTTTATAACCGCTTGGAACTTTCGGTGAATTATTTTGATAACTTTTTAATTTGGTAAATCAAACATTCGTCTGTCGACTGTTTCTGTTAATTTTCAAAAAATAAACGACGATTCTCGGTTTTAGAGGTCTTTGTAGAATTGTGGATGCTAATTTTAAGAATTTGACATGCCGCGTCGGTAAAAATAGAAACGTTTACGCCAGTTTGGATGGTTCTGTCCCAAAAACGGCTGAATTCCTGTTTTTCAGGATAATAGTCAAAGGTCAGGCTCTGTTGCTAATGTCAGGCTGTTGATGCTTATAAAACACTTCCGATGAAGTGTCAATTACAACGTGGCCATCAAGTTTCGAATAAGAGCAACTTTAAAGCTTGTTGATGATGATAAAACAGACAAATTTCATAAATATAAACAAGAAAAGTTCGGTTTGGTCTTCTGTGGTATTGCTAAAAATATAGGTTCAGATGTGTTGAGCTCGCGTTAAGTCAAATTTCATAAGAATTTTCATGCGCTGACAGAAAATATGGCCGTGATTTTACAATGGCTTGTCGACATTCTGCTGCGGAGCAGTTTGCAGACGGTTTCTCTTTGTATTTCCAATCTTCAGCTTTCCTACGGAGTAAAAAAAAATTGGGGTTGTCCGTTGCATAAAGACAACTTCGACATCTGAATTTTTCACGTCAACTACAAAAAAGAAGTGAATTCGGGCCTTCGTTTGAAAATTTATTGAGACTAACCAACAGTGCTTTGAATAATCGGGCGTTTTTCAAGACAACAAGACGCCTGTTCTGGCGTTAACTCCGGCGTGCTGTGCACGTGCCAGTCTTCAATATCTGAACATAAACAATACAGTTCATACTCATTTAGATCGTAATGCATCTGCGACTGTCCCCGCCGATCGTAGCAAAACAAAGAAAATAGTTTTGTTACGACGATCGGCGTTTGTCGCAGATAGGCTGCGACTGACAATGGTAAAATGTTAACCATCCTAATTTCGAACCCAGTGTTCTAATTTGTCCCGCCTTCTTCTCCAAAATACACGAAGAACCGACAGATGAAGACCGCCTTTCTGCGATACTCGCCGACTGCTACCAAGTCGGCATCGCCGAGCATCGGCGTCTATCTGCGAGTGGTGAAAACCAGGCTTAATGCTTTGTTACAAATTTGGAGCTAAAATATTTTAATTTATCAGCTTTAACCTGCTTGGGGCCCATTATGGCTAAATTTTCAGGGCCACCGGGAAATTTCCTGGTCTTCCGGTGGGCCACGCCGACCCTGGCTACATGCAACATTGGTTTTTTGTTGGTCAATGAATGTTATATAGTTGATAAATGTTAGAAAGGTTATTGCCCCAGTAAGATTGTACGGCTTGTTTGTCAAAGTTTAGTTGACAATACGGTATCGTCATCATAACTGAGGATGATAGAGTGATTTCATAGATCCAGTAGGAAGGTACAGCTGGTTTGCAATGTTGCTTACAGATAACGTATCAGCATTTCTCAGTGATAATGGCACATAAACATTGTGATAATATATAATTTGAACATACCATATAACCACAATTCACTGCTCTTTTGACTCAGTTAATTGGTTCTTGAGATATGGCAAACAGAATACATTAATATAAAACATTAACAGTATTTTATTCCAAAGCTTGCCTTTCAGATGGCAGAGTTTCAACGGTCTAGAAAATTTTGATGTGAACCAATCCTGAAGCGATGAACTTCAATAATGACGTCCGTATTAGTAGCCTCAAACTTAATATTTCGTTTAGTTTGAATATATCATCAGAATGGCTGTCGTTTTATTTAGACCTCCGCAATAGCTGGTTTCAATTCTAATACCAGCAAAATGGCAAGGTTCAATTTCAATACCTGCACAATGGCAAGGTCTAATTTCAATACCTACAATAGCAAGGTTTTTGCTTGCCAAATCTCAAAAACCAATTGATTATTAAGAGTCAAAAGAACAGTGAATTGAGTTTATGATATATTTAAATTATATACTATCACAATGTGTATGTGCCATTATTACTGAGACTTTCAAATGAAGTGGAGGAAAATCCAGGTCCTGGGACATACCTTCCTGGTAACTACTACTCAGTAATACACGTTTATATCAATGATGAATGGTGGCATTCAATGTTAACTGATTGTCGGACTGATTTATACCACAGTGATAAGATATTGTCAATGAAAATTGCAAACAACCCACGCGTAGTAAAGATTTGTACGCCCAAAATTGCTCGACCACAGTAGTAGACAAAAGAGCGATTAAAATGACAAATATTGACCCAAATAATGCAACGTTGACTTTACCTTGACTTTTATATATAAACTTACCAAAACTCAAAGCACCCCTTCAAATGAAATTCTGATAAACATTCACAAAAGAACAAACGAAATTTTCCGGAAGTATTGATGAACGTCTATTCCGGAAGTATTGACGTAAAAGTATTTTTATCTTTTGTTTATCCGACAATCGCCGAAGATTAACGACAGACGTAGACATCTCCATACACAGACACTTTTCAACTGCGCATGCGCAGCGGCTACCCACAAAAAGTATAGAAGTTCAATTGTTCTAAAACGTAAATACACTGCATAATACGTTCACTTTGTCTTACATTTTGCCTTTGGAATTCGCGCTTATATAGTTACATTAAATCTTCAATCCTGTACACACTGTGACGTTTAACACGGCCATACACGACCACATCTTGTTAAACGGCGAAATAGCAGCAATATTATTAAAATAGGACCAGAATCTACATATATTAAATATATTCTTACCCCAATTAAATCTAAACTTAATCGGACAGCATCAAAAGAACGGTTTATTTGCGGTTCCTCATGGAGGAATTGCCGTATCATGCGAGCGAAATCGAATCGCGCATCGGAAAATGAGCCAAAGCTGTTCACCACAACTCTTGGGAGACAAAACTGTGACGTAGATAAATCCGGTCACATACACATTTTAGATACTAGCACACTTGCGACGACGATTTGGCGCATGCTCGGTGACTCACTCGCACAACGCGCAGTCGTACTTGCGATTTCAACGCGTACGTATATACGTGCAAGTGGGTGCCAGCCTTTAGGCAGTGTAGCAGATATACTCTCTTTTATAGAAACTTGTGAAACAGCATCCGATATTTCTCCAATTTAGGGCGCTTACGGAAAAAACGGCCAGACCGGTCCTGTTGTATTTCGGTACAGACAGATTACTGGTATCAACAGTGTTTCAAAAACTCTGCATTCAAGTGTATCTTTATTTACATCTGCCAAGCGCGGGAAATATAATTTCATCACTATATTCTTAACGAAATACTCTATTCCAATTTAAAATACGACCGGTCTGACCATTTTGGCCGCTTAATGGAAAGCGCCCTTGGACGCCATGTGGTTCCTTTTCATAGTAATTACCACTGACCAGGCTCAATTCTGATCCCGTTAAGGCAATAGAATGGATCAATTTAAATTGATTTACTTTCATATTATTTTTATACTATATTATATTGATCCGGCGCAAGAATATATTAAATTATTTTTTTAAATATTTTAGCATTATATAGAATTTATAGAATCACTGGTAATAATTATTAATTTTATTTTTTTGTTTTAAAATATCGTTGTTTTTATATCTTTGATATATTTTTTGACCTAACGTAGAATAGTTATAACGATTTAATTTATTATTTATTATTTATTATTATGATTATGGATGGTTTATTGAACACATTACAATAGCTATATACAGCTAAATTATTACGTCATTATAAAATTGTGAATACATATATAGTAGGATTGTAGTTAATTTTCCATGCAAAATTACAATATTACTTAATACAAGTTCGCAAAAAATTACTTTTCAAAATTGAATGCCGCCATCTTTTTCATTCAGGCGAATATGAATATAGTGTTCTAATCTAATATTAACTATTTCATGGGTATTTCCAACAGTTCGTCCACAGTCGCATAGCATGCTTTGATAATCAATGTTCGGGATATCTACGCTTATACCACCCGTCCACATGATGATATGACGCACTGCATTTAGATTTGCCCGCAGTCCCAGTTTTCAGACATTCCAGTCTCATGCCTGGCTTGCAACCGTCGTTCCTACACAGGTTAGGATTATCGCTACAATCAATATACAAATATTGGCAAGAATCATAATGACTAGTTCCTCTTTTCACTGCCTGAAATGCAGAAAACAACACAATTAGACACCCTTCACACCATAGAGACTATAAGATCTACGAATCTCAAATGACTTCGTCAACGACCCCATGCAGCTAATAGCGAGAAATTAAAATACTTTAAACATCAGGGGCCGGTTGTTCTAAAAGCGTTCAGCTTAAACGGTGGATAAGCCAAAGTTTAAAAATACTCTCATACATCTTGTGAATGACGGAACCTGTATCTTATGCATTAAATATGTGCTTCGATTGAAAATTAAACTATTTACATCGAAATAGTTGAGCTCAATTGTTCAATAAATAGATCATTTTGTTTTCAATTTTGAACTTATCCACCGTTTAAGATTAACGCCTTTCGAACAACCGCCACCAGACGATTTGATGAAACATGAAGCAATTCGATCTCCGAACTCGATCTCTTGTAGCACGAAATTCTGGTAATATTTCGACTTTATTCCGAAGTTCGACGAATTTCAAAAGCCGACAGGTTTAGAAAACTCCGTGTCAACAGCACCGTTAGAGTCCATTTACGGTATTTAATTGTACCCATAAAAATTTTGGCATGTCAACAGTTAACACCTTCGTCACCATACTTACCCGTTCGGATAGTAATTTGGACGACTACTGTTACTTACACAGCCACAGGTTAAGATCCATGCAAGTGGCATCTTCACCTGACCACCCCTTTATTAAGGACTGACATGATCACACCAATTGCTGGAATTTTGACCGAATTACGGAGAACGAGGCATAAAGCAAAAGAACCAACTCTTTCTTACAACACGGAAAAGAAAAAATAAATGTTCTCGTAACGCGTTCGCTTTGCAACAACGATAACTAATACCAAGCCTTCACCCCCCCCCCCCCTCATGTTTCATAGCCCCTCAGTCACGTGGTGGGATGACGTATCGATGCATGGTTAACTAGCTGTTAACTTTGGTTATTGCAAACTCATGCAATGCATCGACTATTATTTCTGCGTGCTGAAGTACCTACCTCGTTTTCGTAGCGCAAGAAGTCCCTTCTTAAAGTCTTACTCCACGATTTTGCTGCACATGCGTGGAAAATGATAATCAAGACGATGAATGCAAGAAAACCTCTGCTTGCCATTTTGTGAGAATATCTAAAACAAGTCCAAAATTCGTATATTCCTTATTCTTTTTCAGTAGCGTTATGAAAGTACGAAGTAAAAATATTATAAATACAGAACACCGCCTGGAATTATTGGAGGGGGCGAATTATAGAACAAAGGCCAGCCGGAATAAATACGTCTTCTTCTCTCCGACTTTGTTAACCTCCCCCGCTGAATTTGGTCAAAGTGATACAACGACTCTTGATTGAATTATCGGGAGGAGTGCATGTCGCCCTCTCCGGCCCCTTCTCCCCCCCCCTCTGCCGCGGCGCCACTAAATTGTCAAATTATCAGTGTGGTTTGGCATTATTAATTTTACGAGGATATATATCCTTGCTTGTTCATGACCGTCGAAACCGGGGAGGCTAGTGGGCTGCCCTCTCCAGTCCCCCCCCCCGATAATTTTTACACACTGTGGATTTTTACACCGTGCTAATTTGTGTCACTGAAGGTTACGAATATGAGATAAAAGGGGGGGGGGGTGTGCCGTAAGCTGTGATCATGCCCTTTTTCCAAAATGGGCGCAATCCCCCCCCCCTAATCCAAACATCGTTTCGACGGGCCTGTTATTAAATCCACTACCTATACAAACAATATTTCTAATGAGTTTTTTTACATTATGCCGGACGTCGCTATGCCCATGTTTATATCGTACAAATTATATACAGGCATGGAACAGCTAACTCAGCTTAAGTCAGTTATTAGTGTTTTTGAGAATTTTCCAGACTGTCGGGAAAAGGAGTATAGAGTTTCGCCGAACTACTACAAACAAACAGAGTAATAACTCTGAGACAGGCTCAGCCATGCAGTTGTCCAGTCTATAGAAATGTGTAATGCGAAATCTCGACATTTTCAAAACTTTTGAATCAATGACCGGTGAATGGTCGACCAATCGTAGCAAAGATATTTAATTGGGCCGAATTTGAATAATTTTTCAAACGCATTTTGTGGCTCAATATTCATTCGGCTGTATCCGAGTCAAGATGTCCGTTATCGGTCGTACAGTAGATGATATAGCGAAAGTCATTAAATTAATATAATATATTTTAATAATTAATATATAGCTAATATAGCAAAAGTCATTAAATTACACCATTCTCAGTTTTGTATTGATATTGCATTCTGTTACAGTGATATTGTTTCAAATATCGCTGATGAGCTACACGCCGCTGTCTTTAAAAATTCGATTCCTACCACTGCATGGACCCTGCATTGAATTGCTTAATATGCCCTCTTTGTTTTTTTTTACTCATACTAGATCTATAATTTTCTCTAATTCATTTGGGCTTTTTCATGCGGCTACTGATTTATCTACCAGCATATTTTTGTTCAGCGTTACCATTACATAGATACAAAGCTCGCCGCAGCATTCCTTCGGCGCCAAGGAATGGAGTATAAAGTACAGAAGCAAGCCGACTTCGAATACTTAACCAATTAACGCGATCTCGCCGTTATTTCAAAACCGTTTCCTATCTAACGGCGTTGTCATGCTAGAATTTTAAATCTGAAATTACCCCTTGCGCGTGTCTGTTGCCATTTGTTATGGCAACAAGAATATTTTACGCCGATTTACCCCTACATATGAATACTGATTTTCCCCAACCAGTGTATGCCGAAATTACCTGCATATGAACGGTCTCATATAGTTGTTTGCAACTTTTTTGAAACTGATTAAAGGTAGTTCTAAATTTTGCATGAAATTGGTATCTTTTGATAACTGTTATGAAAACATATATGAACAACTCATTTAGGGTATTGTCCTTAAAGTTCTACCACAAAAAGTCGAAGCGGGCAAAGGGTTTGTTTAATCTAGCTATAGACATAAAGTCAGTCGATAGTCGTTAGTCGATAAAGTCAAAGTAACCGTTATTCCTCGATTTAAGTAACGAATAGTGTCAAGTATTAAGGTAAATAACGATAAAAAAACGGGTGTATTATATATAGCTACTTACAATTATCCCGGCTCAGTTTTTCTACGTCTGACTTGAAGCGTAGTCACCTTGTGTGTGCTGGAAGCTTAGCGAGTAATCTCTGTTTGAAATTAAACCGTTGGTGGCTACAGTTGAAAGCCTTCCTCCAACGCATGATAATTAAAATTTTGAAAGGCAATTATCCGTGCTCGGATAGGCATGGTTAACAAACCAGGCCGAAACGCAACAACGTATCGATTCGGAACAAAGACTCACTTTGAGATCAAAACAATTACATAAGCTATAAATATAAATTAGAGGTTGACAGTTGCTCTGCTATTCGGGGCATGAATTTGTATTTCGGACTATTGTCGTACGACGTAGCTAAATGATTGACTCGTTGTTATAAAATTGGAATTAAGGGACTCGACTTTAAAGCGACATTCCAAAAAAGTGTTGCATATTAAAAGTGAGAAATTGCCAAACATAAGTAAATAAAACGAGTAGTTTTCAATCATTGTTGACAAAGGATTTTTTTGTTGTTCTGTGTTGATGGTTAGCCGCCATGCAGGAATGTTTAATTATCTCAACTTTAGAGACATTCATACTGTGGATTATCCTGACATATATTCTCGAACAAATTTGCATGAAACATCAAACATGCATATACCGCAATTATGCCCATCACCAGGTAAACACATGGTATATATAGACATTCTTGTTTCTTTAACAAAATTGTAACAATGATTCTTCGAGATCTAGCTGTTAACTCTTATACCTCAATTTCACTTCACACTCCGTGGTTAACTCTTATACCTCAATTTAACTTCACACTCCGTGCTATCTTAAATGACATTGCAAGTAGCCGACAGGCCGTTGTAAATGATTCGGTGTTGACAATTTATCCTGTTAAATTCAGGTGGCGCCGATGTTTCGAAATATTTTCAGTTAACACCCTATACCACTATATACTAGAGACGCTATAATCGTTTCCACAAGTTGTTAATGGTCGAGTTTGTTTTAGATCCATGCACATATTTGGGTATTTTCGCAAAGTCTATTAGTTTTTTTATAGTACAGAAACTATCCTTACCAGAAAGTCGGTGACCTATGCTATATTTCAAAGCACTATAAAATCCGATGAGGTAAATTTAGACATTCACGTAAACGTACAAATATTTTTTAACCGCCAACGGTCAAGAATAATTAACTTGTTTGGTATATATTACTATATATGCTCGGTTTAGAGGGTTCGTTATATCAAAGAGACTTCTTTGTCCTGGCGACAATTCCAACAGACATGCACTTAAGCCATTGAACGTCTTACAAGGGCCACTTAGACCAAAAGCAAAGCAAACAATTGATCGATCGTTAAATTTCGAAATTTTGAAAAAAAATGCAGAGGGATATTTTACACACGTTTACCAAGGAACCCCATCAACTGCTGAAGACAAACAGCCTGTGTGCCCTGTCCGAAGATTATTTTCTTTCGCTGGCTGTTTTTCATGTTCTGAGTTACAGTCGATATATATTTGTGAATCCTTGTGAACTTACAAGATGTTTGAATGCAACAAAATTCTGAAAAAAACCCATTCTCAGCAACGACAATTCGCTTTAATATTATGGTCTTCAAAACTGATGCACATCACCTAAGGTGTTATAAGTATATCTCCTCATTAATATGTTGCACATTGTGTACGAATTTTTGCATGAAAGACGTTTTCGTACAATTTATCGGGTGCCTCAAGTTTCTTAGTTGTTCTTTGCAGAGTAACAGTAAAATATATGAGGGCATAACATAGTCACCACACTTAACAACGAATATGTTGAAAAGTTGTATAATCAAGGACCCCCGGTGTGTGTTGATATGAGACGGCAATTTTTCCCTCAGTTTTTCATTGTGTTCAAAACCTGATGCTGTTTTACTCCCGCTGGTTAAAATGAATGTGGTCAGTTAATATTTTATTGGCCTTTTAATTATGGCGTCCGATTAGTAATCAATTCCGGCCTCTCTATGAAGACAAGATCATGTGCTGGACGCAAAGTCGCAGGTCTCTTTTACCAAGAAGTAAACAAAAAAGTGGGAGGAACCGTGTTATGCGTTGCACAATTTGCTCGTTGCTGTGGTTACTGAGGCAAAACTGAGTAAAACGTAGCATAACATAGCAAATTGTTGGATCCAATTCACTTCTGACGTACTGAAATAAAGTCAGTTATTGACTTATTGTTAAAGCAGTACTGCATTGGCTTCAGTGGATTTGCTGCTCATATACATTACAAGACAACAAACTATAAAACATCCATCAGAAGTGAATTGGATCCAACAAAATTGGAGCGTGTGAACAGACCTTTAGGCTTATAACTTAGTGTTGCTAGTATATTTGCTGATTTGCACACAAAAAAGCTAGCCAGCATTTCCAATCTAATACTGAATTGATGTATATTCTAAGGTACATTGATAACCAATTCGTGCAGAGGTAAACAAGCTTTGTAATGTGATAAAAGGCATCTGATGCAATATTTATCATTTGTGATACTTTATACATAAATTGCACGCACATCATTTATATAGGTATGGATAGAGTACACGTGTATTAAAATATGATAGCACAATTTTGCTGCATAGAATTAATCTCAAGTTGTTGAATCGGCGGTACACTGTTGTAAGAAGGGCAAACAGAGCTTTTCAAAAACGATCTTACAGTAACATTACAAGCGTTTTTTGGAGTGATAAGATATCCTTAGAGTTGTCCCTGATATCAATTTAGTTCTGACGCAATTCCAAACTTTGAAACGTTGGTGTATGTCTTCATCAATCATCATCTCATGAGGATGTCATTTTAACAATGACCCGGCTTTGGCCAAAGACTTCTTTTTGTCATCGCAACAAAAAAATTCCTGGAATGAACTTAATAAAACTGTCAAGTTTAGTTGCGAAATAGGTTTTTTACGAGACTGAATAACCCAGTCGAATCATCGGTCCACCGAACTAATTTTTGAACTAATTTTTATTATGTCGGTTTGTTGTATATCTTCCAAACCAACTTTATCAATTCATCTTCTAAACTTGTACCATATACCAGTCCATACCATGTTTTGATATCACCGAGCCTAAACTATTTTTTTTTGTGTTTGTTTTGACACCTTCCAAACTGAACTTTATACCCTTGGCCATACTTTATGTCCATTGATTCAGATAGGTAATTTAGCTAAAAATGGCCGCTATAGCCTATAAGAATAGCGTATTTTTTAATATAGTCTTTTATATAATCTTATTGTGTTTATTTTCTCGTTTCTTCTCGGCTCGTCAGTATAAACTCCCCCCATGTCGACAAGTATGTGAATTGGGTGTCAATATTTAACTACAAAACTTACCACTATCATCAATCTGAGATTAAACAAACCATGAAAGGCCTTTGTTAATAATTAATTAAAAATGATACCATCAAAAAGCATTGCCGACCGAAAAACCGAACGTTGCATGTATACAGGCTTTATTGTAGTTCACATGGCTAAGTAATTCATGAAACTCGTTTATATACACACTACGTGACATAAAGGAACCGAATGTAGCCCAGAAAATTCTGCCTGATTACAAAACATGGGGAGAATGTTTTGATTCAAGTTGTTTTTGTAGCGACGTTGGTGCCTCGTACATGCGGGCGCTTTGTGATGATAACCGAAGCAGACAGGTCTTTTTGACTTAACAGTAGTGGGCAACGCTGATCTTAATAGTACACTTGGATAAAGCAAATATATTTCATTGAACTGTCTGTAGCAACAAAATTAAATTGATGAACTTCCGGAGACCCAAAACAGGGAAAAAAACTATACTTTGAACAACTGCAAACTTACTGAAGTAACTCACTAAGTATTTATGTGATGCTTTACAGTCAAAATACAAAAAGTGACCCACTTCCGCTTCTGTAGTCTGTAGCGATTTCCTGTAATATCGGTGAATTCACTGTCAATCACAGAAGCACTTTCACATCTACGATCACAGAGCGGCGGTCATTTTAAGAAAGGGAATAAAGCCGGTATTATTCACGTTTTTAAAAACTAACGCACGCAATAAAACAGCACAGAATTACAATATAATGAACATTCACTATCGTAAAAAGAGCTGCAGACTTACTGTACTTAGACTTACTAGGAAAGATGTAACAAAGGCGTTAAAAATTTGACCAAATATTGGATTTATCAATAATTTCTTTACCAACAGCCTTTTGAAAAAAAAACTTTATTGAAGAATCTTGCAATATAATATATAAAACTGGAAACTGGAAAACATTAATTTTCAAAGTATGGAAATGTTTGCAATTTAAATTCGGTTGGAAAGTCATCTAGAGTTGCGTACATCAAATGCGTACATCACTTCACCCCCCCCCCCTCGGGGTGTGTTTCTGCTTAATCTACACTCTTCATTAATTCTCTTGAGCAGTATGATATGACCATATGTGAACGTGAGGAATTGTTTCTATACGAATTGTTTAAATAGTTTATTTTTTTTTTTATAATATAGCAGTAAGAATAGTGCAAAATGTTTGTGCTTCAAAGCAAGTCACCACCTCAAATTTTCAAATATAAGGTATAATAATGCACAACAAAATCTGCCCAATATATTGCTGCAATTTTATTTTCTGAACAGTTTTCTTTTGTGTTTTGTATTAGGAACCATTCCTTTTTGTTTAAGTCTTCTGTAAGCTTCTCGTATGTGCTTGGGCTGTATAGGAACTGGATCATTGCACTGCTCTGCCACATCACATGCTATATAAGAGGTAAATAATTAACCATCAGTCAGATTTGCATTACCAGTAAAACTATTTGGCACTAACAGAATAATATGAATACTGGCGGATAAGTACTTAGCAGCAATGAGCCATTACTCATTTTGAAAAGCACTGTAGTTTATTCGACTGATGCTAATACCTTCTTCACATATTTCTCCAACGTAAACTTTAGCAATGCCTGCCATTGCGATGACAACATTTGGTGGAACTGAGGTACCTCCTGTGACACTTTGCATCAGCTATATAAAATATCATAAGATGTTTAGGTATTGACACCTTGGGAGTATATATACATACATATATTATAGTTAGTACATATATATATATATATTATATAATATATATATATATATATATATATATATATCTGTATATATTTATATATATTATATATATTCACCTTTTTAACTGATGCCTTTGGAAATGCAGACCGACGATACATTTCATAGCGATTGAGTTGGTCTTCTGTAAATGACGATACCAGTACCCTGGATGCAGTAAACAAAATGTTTGGCAAGATAGTTTTTTATTGGGGGGCGCAGAGGCAGCACTATTATAAATAGCTTTGGTTGAATTCAATATAGTAAAATGAAGATAACAAGTTTAGTTCTTTTTAGGGGGGGGGGAAGTGCACCTGTTGCCCCCTCTGTATACGACCCGGTCTGTTTATACTAGACAGAATAAACGAGTTTACAGGGTGTCTGGGGATGGTTTTTATAAACTATAAACTGGTAGTAAAACTGACAGCTTGATAAATTGATTTGAGGCGATTTTCCATCATTCAAACGTACTGCATTTTTTGTCTCTCGACCTCTTCTTCTTCTTTCAAAGTTTTATCAGATGTTGCTTTATCTCCGGTCGAGCTTTCGGCCGTACTAGGGCCGGCTGTGGTCGCTGTTGTCGGCCCCGACGAGGCAGTGTTTGAAGTAGTCGCTGGTGTAAGCAAATGTCTTAAAGGCATTACTTGTTGGGACGACATGATTTGGCACAATACGAAGCACAGAATGAGCTTCCGTGTGTCTTCGAGTCGGTATTGTTTGAACAAATACTGCGGGTGAAGTTTAAAAACAAGTTACGGTATAAAATGGTTGAAAATATCGAATAAACAAAAATCAAAGCGCCGAGCAGCCATTATGAATCCACGCGAGTCGCGAGGAGACATCTCGTGGGGTACGAAATTTCCATTCCCGTCATTTCCCGAAATTGAAAGGGCCAATTTTTGAAATGGATTGAGGACATTTTTAATTTCGAGGCTTTAAAGTTTTAAACCTTTTTTTGCCGCGCTGAAAGTCCATCCCTAAAATTTATTTAGACTGTATATTAGCAATATTAGCTGAGACGATCCCACGGGCTAATAACTGTAGTAAGAATATGAATTCAGAAATTTTTAAAAAGAATTCTGGGGTGGTTAAATTTTTACCACTTAGGTATATAAAAATTCCCTGATGTTTTGGGCTAAAACTGAAGTAAGGCAACAAAGCAACTTTATACATGGCGGTTTTTCGTGCTGAAGAAGATATGGTCCGAAGAGGCCATGGTAATTACCACTCATCACCATTATCAGATATTTAAAAACCAAGGTACCTCTTTTGCGTTTATCCACGGAGCACGGTAGTTTTCAGAACTCTTGATTTTCCGATTTATTTATTAAGTGGAAGTTTTCGAGGGAAGGTTTAAATGTGCAAAGAAATTTCTGGCCTGTGGGGTGTCAAGACTTAAGAGAAGAAATTGGCGTGAAAAAAAAGATTTTTCGACGTACTTATTGCACTTTCTTTGTTATGTTAAGCAGAAAATTGGCAGACTCGCGAGGTGCGCCTACTATCTTTAATTATCCACACATATGTTCGGTGCAGGTGGTGATCGTGCACCAATCAATGAAATTAACAAAATTTTAAATGTTCTTTTATCACTTCATTTCCTAATGAAATCAACATGTTTAGCTTTCATTAAATGCAGTTAGTAAAAAAGATTACTTTAAGTTTATTAAATATACTTAAACGCTACTGCAAAACGATAAAAACTAAAATTAAGTATTAAGAAAACACGCGCAGTCGCAGTGAATTTGTAATAACCCCACAATCACCACATAGAGTAATGTCATATATAGTAAGCCTTTGATATTTGGATGAATCTTTGCGATCTTAAATGTTGTGTTGTTCATGTGTAGCTCATGAGCATTAGCGATGGTGGAGTTAAAGAGGACTAAAGGAGAAAAAAAAGAAGTTGATTGAATTATTGGGTGAAAGGGTTGAAAGAAAGATTTAAGGGTGCCAAAAGATGTATGTATTTCATGAGCTGTCGTCATGGTGTTGTGGTTAAGACAAGTGAGTGGTAAATTTACGGACGCTGGTTCTGGCCTGTGGGGTGTCAGGAGAAAAAATTGGCCTGAAACAAAAAAAGATTTTTCGACGTACTTATTGCACTTTCTTTGTTATGCTAATTAGAAATCTGCAGATTCGCGAGGTGCGCGTACTATCTTTAATCATCCACACATATATTCGGTGCAGGTGGTGATCGTGCACTATTCGATGAAATTAACAAAATTTTGAATGTTCTTTAACCACTTCATTTCCTAATGAAATCAACATGTTTAGCTTTCATTAAATGCAGTTAGTTAAAAAGGTTACTTTAAGTTTATTAAATATACTTAAACGCTACTGCAAAACGATAAAAACTAAAATTAAGTATTAAGAAACTACGCACAGTCGCAGTGAATGTGTAATAACCCCACAATCACCACATAGAGTAATGTCATATATAGTAAGCCTTTGATGATTGCAGTCATATCCTTGCGGTCTTGGATGTTGTGTTGTTCATGTGTAGCTCATGAGCATACTCAGCATAGGCGATGGTGGAGTTAAAGAGGACTAGAGGAGAAAAAAAAGAAGGTGATTGAACTATTGAGTGAAAGGGTTGGAAGAAAGGTTTAAGTGTGCCAAAAGATGTATGGATTTCATGAGCCGTCGTGATCGTGATATGATAAGTCCATAGAAGCGGTTAATCCACGGACGCTGGTTCTGGTCTGTGGGGTGTCAAAAGAATTCAATTCGAAGAAATTGGCGTGAAAAAAAAATTGATTTTTCGACGTACTTATTGCACTTGCTTTGTTATGCTAATTAGCAGCCTGTTTAACTTTCATTAAATGCAGTTAGTGAGAGAGGTTACTTTACGTTTATTAAATATACTTAAACACTATTGCAAAACGATAAAAACTAAAATTAAGTATTAAAAAACCACGCGCAGTCGCAGTGAATGTGTACTAACCCCACAATCACTGCGTAGAGTAATGTCATATATAGTAAGCCTTTCATTCTTGAAGTCATTTTTTTGCAATCTTAAAAGTTGTGTTGTTCATGTGTAGCTCATGAGCATTGGAGATGGTAGAGTTTAAGAGAGGAAAAAAAAAAGTTGATTGAAATATTGGGTGGAAGTGCCGGAAGATAGGTTTAAGTGTGCCAAAAGATGTATGGATTTCATGCGCCGTCGTGATCGTGATATGGTTAAGACAAGTGACTGATAAGTCCATACTCGGTGGTTCCAGCCTGTGAAGTGTCAAGAGAAGAAGTGGCGTGAAAAAAAGTATTTTACGATGTACTTAAGTATTTTCGATTTACGGGAAGAAAAGTTTAAGTATGCCAAAAAATGTAAATATTTATAGAGCAGTCATGATCCTGTAGTGGTTAACGTTGGTGTAGCGGTTAAGTGACTGGTAAGTTCGCAGGTGGTGGCTCCAAACCATGGTTTGCAGCTTTGGTTATGATGTCAAATATTTGGACATGCATAACCATGCTGTTTAAATGATCTAATTCTGGTCCTATGTTAAGTTGCAAGCATTTTTCGTGCCAATATATAACATTAAAGAATATAACTATGCTTTGCTTATGAATGTCAATTATTTTGATATGGATAACCACGCTGTTTTAATGCTTTAATACTTGTCCTATCAGTCTTAGTCTAGTGGTGAAGGCAACGGTCTCGTAACTTTTAGGTCGGTGACTCGAATGAGACGAATATATTTTCATTATGACTTAGAAAAGGGATTTAGGTAAAAATAAATAAATGTAGCCTTTAACAACATAGCGCTGATGCTTTAGTAGCTAATCCTTGAAAAACTTTCTTTTTTATGCCAATTAGAAATTTGCAGACATGCGTTGTGCATGTGCTATCTTTAATTATCTACGTTTGTGATGTGTGCACGTGGTTATTCCCCCACTATATGCACAATTGCATTAAATCAACCAAATTTTAAATGTTCTGTATTCACTTCATTTCTTAACTAACCAACCTGTTTTTAGCTTTTAGTGAATGCAGTGAGTGAAAAAGGACACTTTACGGTTATTAAACATACTTAAACGCTATTGGAAAACGATAAAAAGTCAAATTTAGTATAAAGAAACCCCGCGCAGTCGCAGTGAACGAATAATAATCCTAAAATCATCACATAGAGCAATGTCATATATACTAAGCCTTCGGCTTTTGAAGTCGCATCCACTGCGTTCCACATGCCATTCTATCGGTTCTCTCTCTCTTGTCCTATTTCGAGGAAAGAGGCTCCTCCTGCAAGTTTGACTATGGCGCCGTGGTTGTTAGCTTTTCGCATATCGGAAGAATAAAATTTGGAAATGTTTTTCACTATGAACTTGAAAAAAACGTTTAGAGGAAACGTCACAATATTTTTTATGTTAACGGAGCTTAAGAGAAGTAGAGTTATTTAACATCTGTTGCCTGATATTGGAGTACAATTTCAGCTTTGAAATTAGTTGCGAATGTTGAAACATTCTAATGAATCTCCCAAATGAAATACAATTTTCCTGAAATTCTAATTTGTGAACTGTGAAATCAGACTTGACTTCATTGACCGTAAGCAAATCGCACCGTGACCATTAGCTTCACCTGGGCCACATATAACTACCTTATGGTAATATACTACTTAAGCTTCTTTGCTCAAGGTATTCCATACCTGTGATATTTTAGCGTCAACAAAAATGGTTGATATTAGGTTAATCTACGAATATAAGTTACAGCCAAGTTACAGCTACCATAGCCGTTTTTCATTATGAACTTCGTAAAAAATAAAGTAAATTTAAAAACCACAGCCGTTCAGCACAAGATCGTGTAGTCTAGTGGTGAAGACAATGGTTTCCCAAGTGGTAAATCGGTGGTTCGAATCCTGCCATAACCATTTTTCATTATGAACTTCGTGAAAAGGATAAAGTAATTTAAATAACCATGGCCGTTCAGAACAAGATCATGTAGTCTAGTGGTGAAGACAATGGTCTCCCAAGTGGTAAACCGGTGGTTCGAATCCTACCATAACCGTTTTTCATTATGAACTTCGTGAAAAGGATAAATAAATTAAATAACCATAGCCTTTCAGCAAAAGATCTTGTAGCCTAGTGGTCAAGATGTCGGTCTCATGTGTCGATTGTCGAAGGTACGAATCTCGTTTTAGATGGAAATTTTAGTCATTAATATTACATGGTAAGGTTATGGAGAATAAGTTGTTGTAGGCTTCCAACAATCACCAGTTAGCGTTGTGGTAAAGTCGTGGACTATCAAGTACAAGATCGGGGTACCAAGAACGGTATGGTACGTTCCTCATGGCGGTGGAAAGAAAGAAAAAAAAAGAAAAAAAATGGTAGGAATGTTGCTCGGGGTAGGTTTGTATTCGATTAATCTTTGCGAATCAAAGTTAATCTTTAGGGAAATCAGGGGATAGATAGGGTGAATGAGGGGTATATGAGTACAAAAAGACTTAGTAATTGGGCGGCCCCGGGGCAAGGGGGCTCGGCTCCCGGAGCAAGGGGGAGGGTATAGGTGAGAAAACAGTATATAAAATGTTTAAGTCTTTTTGTACTCATTTAAACCTCTTTACCCCTATTTATCCTCCTATTTACTCCTATCTATCCCTACTTTTTCCTATCCTCACATATCCCCAACTATCCCCTAACACAATTAAATGTTTGAAGAAAGCTTGCTTTGAAAGTCAGGAAAGCCGGGGGAAAGAGAACCCCCCTCAGTCTACTCCTCGCCCAAGGCGAGGGCATATTCGCCCTCTCGCACTACTCCTCTCACACTCACAAATTCTCACTTTATTACCTTGTTGTTCTTTTTCGGTTTATCCAGGGCTTGAACCAT